CTTTATTATATAGTTTTTAAAAGATTAAATTAATTAATTTCTGAAAAATAGGGAACATTTAGGAGAAAAAATATTCTGATTACTTTGAATTTCAATGCTAAATCTAAAATAATGAATTATTTTAAAGGCAGCCAAATACAATAAAATGTTAGTGTAAAAATGAGTGATTAATAATGCACCAATCTTTTATTCAATGACAGAAAACATAATGAATCACTTAAAAGTGCTTGTTCATTAAATCAACTTTTTAACATTAATATAAAAAAAATAAATTAAATTAAATTCATTTTTAAATCTGTCATTAATGTTCTTTTTAATGGCGTTTGTAAGTATAATATTCTTTAAAGAAAAGAAAACCACCAAAAAATAAAAAATAAAAAATAAAACAAATATTGATTAGAGCTAATTCTTAACACAAATCTTTGGTTATGTTAATATAATAAATTGTTTAGTTTCTAATCTCTAGTTAAAAAAAAAATTTAAAATATTAGAAATAATTCTAAATAAACTCTTTAATGTGACAAAAGTAATTTAATAAAATAAAAAAGATTGATGAAAAATACAATACAGTGCGGTCTCGGTAATTCAAACTAATGATTGTAGATTTTAAGAGGCAGTACAGTGTACTTAAAACTTTTTAGGTTAGCAGAAATTTAAAAATACATCTGTATACTTATGCAAAATATTTAAGTATGCAATATGTGACTATTTAAGTATTCAAAGTAAATTTTTAATCAAAAACGGCTAGGGAAAACATACATCATAAATCAAATTTGTTGTGACGTACATATTATACATTCATATTTTTCAAACAAAAAAGTAAAATGTGTGCTAAAAGTTCAAATAAAAATAAAACTAAACAAGCTAAAATTAGAATTACCACTGGTATGCGTTGCTGAGATCACACTGTATATTCATGTTAGCTGTACAGTTATGAACATCTAGACATTAATGGAACATCACAAAACACAGACGTTTCAATCAAAATCATTGAGATCAATAATACACTCATTCTGTCACATCAGAAACAAAACTTTAAATACAGATTTATACATATCTACTCAGTAGAACATGACCGTTCTTCAATTCTCCATGGACATAACCACAAACTTATACAGAATACGATGACAATCAACATACCTTACAAAAAGAAGGCTGTAACTGAACTGACATATGAGATCTTCTTGAGTAAAATCTGGTATAAATTCGCATTTGAAAAAGAAAATGTTGTCTGCAATAGAAACAAAGTAACACTGTGCTCTCAAAGCAACTCTGTGAAAAATGTAAATAAACTATAATTTCAGATTTATTCGTGAATATTAAGATCTAGATCACATTATTCGCCTTAAAGTAGTTTTGTATCACAATAATATAAATAGAAAAAAGGTTCATTATTTTTATAACAATTGAACGTTCATAGCTTCTTTAGAAGAGAAAATACCCAATCCCATTCCTTTTCTTCATCTCATGACTTTCCAGGATGTTCTCTAGCGGCAAACGGTTGAACATGAGCTCAGATTAAAGGAAATAAATTTTTGTAAACATTATAACATGGTAATCAATAATCACAGAGTGTTACCATAATTATCGCTCAACATCTCCCAGCTCATGGAAACAGTTTAAAGAAAAATTAGTTATAACAAATGATAATCACATCAAGATTAATTGTTGATAGCAAAAATCTTTACACTAAAGACCCTGATAATTTTGTTAAGGATGGTTCACTAATATAATCTACCAACATATTAAAATAGGTGTTTGTGAAACTAATAATCTATGCAGTGTTCAACACACTCCCAAATACATACTGCAATATGTAACTACCTAAACAATAATGCTTCAACTATTCTTATACTCAAACCAGATATGGTTGTTTGTGGAGGGAATGGTTTTATGATGAACATACCATAAGGTATTATTTTTGTAGAAAATGACTTCTTTCTCTCAAAATTTTTATCATGATAATTAATAATTAGGGGGTCACAAGAAATACGTTGCTAAGCTAAAAATTGGTCAACACAAGTAATGTAAACTATAATAACTTTAGTTATTATTTTACCTATCAACTTATCTCCTGTGAACTTCGCATTAATGATAAAAATTTTCAAATATTTATGGAATTAAACTGGTTTCATACCATTTTTTCCTTTTGGAAGACCCCCCATCATGATATTTGAAAATTGGTATGTTCAGTCCTATAATACTTACGATAACATTTAAAAAAGATTAGTTTGAATACAATTTAAAAAACACGAGTATAGTTTATATCTAGCAGTAATCTTGCTAAGTATTTGGCATATGGGATACTAATAATCGTAATCAGTATTAATTTTAGTTTTTTGAAAAGTATTGCAATAATTAAAAAATGCTCTATCTATCAAATTTTATACCCCGCTACAGGTAATAATACCTGTAGTATTAAGGATTATATAGCAGGTATCTTAAGAAATTTTCTTCTATTATCAATATTCTTGAGAAGAATTTCTCATTATTTCATTTTTCATGGTAACAACAAACAGGATTTCCCCTCCCCCTATTTTTTAGCCCATAGCTAAAATTTAACAGCCATCATTGTAACAGTTGATAATCAATCATTAATAGTTGTAAGCAGTACTTAAATCATCTTTACAATATGATCTTGAAATAAGTTTAAAACTAATAATTTTAAAATTTGGACCTAACTGACACAATATTTATTAATCAAATACCATAAAACATTATAATAGTATATTTAATTTGTAGGAAAAAAAATTTCTTTTTAAACACTTAATTACAGTACTCTTAACCAAGATTTCTATATAAAATAGAGTATTCTTTAAAATGTATTGTGTTCTCAACACTCTACACATAATTGTAAATATATTCTTAAATACATAAATCTTTTTTTCAATTCGAGTGATTTATGTTGAATTAAAAAATTCAAGTAAAAACAAATTATATAAAATTTGATTTATTCAATAACAGCAGAGTAACAGCTCTAAATAATTCTAGTAAATAACTTTTATTATATGTTACTGTATTTAGGAAAATACTAGAACTGTTTAGCATTATTTTCAGCATTCCTTTTATTAATTCACTTCTTAATATGACTTCTACACAACTTTGGAAAAAAGTTTAGTTTATGAGAATGCAACAGTGAGCTACAAATTAGGGCTGCTGTATTAGGCGTAATAATTTTTTTTCAAGGTCTATCCTTGCTTATTATAGATCCTAATCAAACCTGACTGAAAGTCTTGGATCTAACTTTCATAAAAAGTTAACACTGGTATTTACTCTGAGGCTAAATGGGGATCCGCAACGCATATTTTATTTAGTCCTAGAATAAGTAAAACCAAAACTACCCGACAAAAGGTCTCGACTCAGCCACTTAACCTTGGAATAATAATAAAATAATGAAATTAACAAAAGGGTTAGAGAAGGCTTTAACTACAACTTAATCCTTCATTCAGGAACTACAAGATTAATTTTTCTCAATATATTTTTATAAAATATCAACTTTTGCAACCTTACCATTCAACAGATAAAATAAATTTTCTATTTTTTAAAGTAATAATGTTTCTATAAATTAAACAAAAATCATTAGATTTTATGGTTCATTGAACAAGACAAATTGGATAAAAACTCCCTAAGTAAAAATGATGAACTAAAATAATTACTTCATTTCTTTGTTGTAACTACTACTATACTCGAGAATCTTAAATATAACATAAACATCATAACATTTATAAAAAAAAACAGTGGATTATTAAAATACACTATAAATATACGCCATATACCATAAATCACAGCTAATAGCACAAACTGATAAGTTCAGTTAACATTGCTAATTAAACATTGTTTACCTTGAAAATAAATTTAATCTATTTAGTAAACATTAAAATGATCATAACGTTGGGCTAACAGTTTTAAAAAATGTATATCAATAAACTATAGAACAGAAACAAATAAATAATAAACAGACATTCAGAACCAGCATTACATACAGATTTCAAATGTTTTGTATCTTTATAACAGTTTTTTTTTTTTTATTAATGAATATACCTAGATGTGATAAACAAAAAACAACCTATAAACAAATGTATCTAAAGGTAGAGAATCTAATAGATATTACAATATGATCTTAAAGATAAAACACAGTATGAAAAATTAATAATTACTCAAGAGCTTAAATTATATTATATTTATTATTTATAAAAAGGCAATTAAAAAATTAATAATTATAATTTCTTTTTAAAAAAATTAATATCATCATAGAATGTCTAAACAAATATATGTTTTTATTTAACTTATACATATACAATAGGACGTCGATAATCCAAACATCAAAAATCTGAAAAGTCCAAAATCTGACTCCTAGAAAAAATTAAGAAATAAATATAGAAAAGAATTTCATTTTATAAAATTGAAAATCATGTGGTTACAAATATTAGCTAAGTGACATGGTAAATAAGAAAAGAAGCATTTTTAATGAAACAAATTAAGACCTTACATGTTAAATACATTTAACATAATTTTTTAAATCATGTTCTGAAAATTATACAAATTGATAGAAATAATCTCAGATCAGTTCAGATTTCAACATCCTATGTAATTAAAACACACAAAAAAAGTCACTACAAAAATGAACACACTAAATTACTTTATCTAAGATGTAGCAAACTCGATCAATTAATACGTTAAACAAAGATGTTGACATGAGAAAATTAGATGATTAAGTTTAGCTATTTCTTTACCAAGAATATAAATGACTAAAGTAAGACTTTTATTGTCAAATTGGCACTTTTCTTCATGTCAAAGGATGAGGATACAATTTTTTCTTTTTTTATTATTTTTTTATTGATATAAAAAACATTAATCATCAATAAAAATTGAGATCCAAACGAAATATGAAACATACTTATCAGCGACTGAGGATACAGTAGAAAAAAGAACAAATAATAAACCTCTGTAAATAAAATCGATATAACAATGAATATTTATTTGTGGTTAATACCGACTGCTTACAAAAGACTGTCTAGTGCTTCCAATGTGTTGCCAAGAATCTTGACTCCTAAACTGTTCTCCTGATCTTGGGCCGGCACGTTATTCTGCTGAACAGGTTGATGTTGTAGCTGCTGCTGCCCTTGCTCGTGTAGATGCTTTTGTGATCTCTCCTCAAAGCACGACGTGCCAGTATCACATGGGATGCTCGGAATCTGCCAACCTTGTGATGAGAAACCCTAACATATAATTTCAATTCTAAACCTTAATACATAGTTCACAAGAAATTTTTAAAACTCAATTTACCAATTATCCAAGCCAGTGTAATAACGCAGTGCACGTACTTAGGGGTGCGTTTATTTGTTAATTTTTTTTAAATTACGGTATTTGAAAGGTTAGAATGAAGCGGTGAACCCAAAAAAGCTATCTGAATATCTAAAGTGCATCGAATTCAGCATCATTCAACACTAAAATGATGAACTAACATACCATACAGTTTGTATGGATGATATTTGATCATCTGAATTTTTAATGATCATTGATATCATTTCAGCTTTTAATAGATTACATCCGTTGATTCTACAAACTTTGCTCAAGAGATAAGCAAACCCCCGATCGTGGTTCCTTGTTCTATGGGTCTTACCAAGTAGGGGTTCAAATATAATAATTTTGATATATACAGCCTTATTTGAGACAAAGCACACAGTACTGCCATTTTATTTCCTCACACATGCTCAATTCTGCTAATTACACAATAAGCCTCCATTTATTCAGCAAAAGCTATTATTCTCAACCTAGGTTTGATATTTCAATTTTGAAAATTGAATTTTGATCGATGGTCTCTGGTAGTTCGCACATTAGAGAAACTGGCAAAAATTAAATCAGACCAAAAGGTCATGCACAGTCATATTTTCACATTAATCCAAGGTAAATACATTAAACATATTCCAGAAAAAAATAACTATTACAAAACTTTCAATATTGAACATATCAATAGGTTTATCGACTTCAGGTGGCACATTGAGTAGCATTACATAAGACATAATCAAAAAGTTTCTAAACATCCCATAAGCAATATGAGTTATTAAATAATTAAATAATTTGAAAACACACTTTAACACTCTTAAAATTTAATAAATAGAAATTAAAATTAAAAAAGAGCATAAGGCCATAAAACTGTTGAAAACCTTTTTAGCTTTTAATATTTCAATTTGAAGTAACAAAAATAATATTCACTATATTTAAATAAAAAATAAATTAATGTAAAAATATAGTATCGATAAAGTTATAATAAAAAACTGTGAATGTAAAAAAATTATAATTTATTTTTTTGAACCCATCAAAAATAATGAATAAATACATACTAACCTGATAAGGTGAAGAAGAAGATTGCAAAGGTTTAATAGGAGAAGGGAGGCTAGGTGAAATCTGATTACTATCAAGCAAAGATAAATTACTAGGTGGAAGTGGCGGTGGTGAGGTTCTGAACAAGTCCAAAGAAGCCACAGACCCTGTATCTGTAATTCAGAGGATTTTACTTTCTATTCTATACTTCGTTATTAGTTAACTAGACTATCAAAGTCAGCTGATTATTACCACAAAATCTATAATTACAATAAACAGAAGAGAGCTCAGTCTATTATCCCTTACCCAACATTGCCTTTGCTCTTAAATGTTAAAATGCTTTACAAGATAAGCAAACAAATAAAACACATAAAAAAACAAAACATTGAAAACTAATACAAAAGATTTCCAACCAATATTTCAAGTCAATGTCAAAATACAATACTTCCTCATATAATTCTAAATACTATATGATTCTGCATCTATACTATTGGATTGTCCGGAAAATAATGCAGGATTTTGGTTTAAAAAAGAAAAAAGAAAGATTTACAAATGTTTTATTTAATCGCAATAGTCCACTACTCTCAATACATTTCTGCCAATGTGTTGGCAACTTTTCCATTCCCTCAGAATAGAATTTCCCGTCAGTGGTATTGATAAATTCCAAAAACGAATTTTCTAATTCCCTTTGTCCATTAAATTTTTCGTCATGTAAGTAGTCGTTCAGGGGTCTAAAAAAATGATAATCCGTAGGCGAGAGATTCGGAGAGTAGGCGGATTTGGCAGAGTTTCATATCCAAGCTCCAACAGTTTTTGTAATGTCACACGTGGGACATATGGCCAGGCATTGTCATGCAACAAAATAAGCCTCTTCCGATTGATCAAAGATGGCTTCATTATTTCTAATTTCTGAGGCATTGCATTGATTTAATACAATACGACATGGCATTGATATTTTCTCCAGGATTTAAGAATCTGTAGTATACCAAACCAAATGACACCTACCAAACAGTAACCATAACCTTTTTTTGATGAGTTGGACGCTTTGGAAAATTTCCTGTTGCTTCTCCTTTGTCAATTCACTGCCCAGAATGTCTGCTGTTATCGTAAAGTATCCACTTTTCATCAAAAGTAACAATTGTGCACAGAAAAGGGTTGTATTTGTTTCAGTAAAGAATTGTGCCACAAACTTCATAACGCTGTTTTTTTTGTTTAATGTGCGTGAAACCCAACTTTTAAGCTTTTTTACCTCTCTAATCGTCTTGAAGTGGTCACCGACAGTCGATTTGGTAAGGTTAAGTTTGCTGCACTGCAAGTTATCGAACAGTTGTTCTGGGGTTTTCTTCCACCTAAGCCCGCAGAACATAAAGAGAGGAAGTCCTTCCACGACCTTCTTTGTCTTCAAGGCTGAAGTCTCCCTCCCGAAATTTTTTGAACCACCGTTGAAAAATGAACTCATTATAATGCTGCTCTCGTCAAAGACTGGATTGATGTCTCTGTCCACCTGGTCTCCATTCCGGCCGAGTTTAAACTTGTAAAACAAAATTATATGAAAATCACACATTGACATCTTAATAAAGACTGAATTATTTCTAAGCGCTGAAATGCTATAAAGGTAAACAAACATTGTTTGAAAGAGAATTAGTACTGAAATTCGTACAAATGATACGGAAAGATGGGTATTTTAAAGAAAACTCAAAATTCTACATTATTTTCCGGATAATAATAATAAAAAGGCTTAGCGAACCCGAAGGTTCGATGCCGACACCACCAATCGCTTATTGCACACCTCCCTCCATCATTCGCCGTCCAAACCCAGTCCCTTCAGACCGGCTTTAATGCAATCTTCCCACCTTCGCTTCGGTCTACCCCTCGGACGCTTACCATTCGTAGCAAATATTAGCCTTTTAGGAATTCTCTCGTTACTAAGTCCAACAACTTTACAAGCCCATTTGATTCGCCGCGATGAAATTATCTCAATTATATTACTCGGATACAGTTCACGCAATTCGGTGTTGTGTAGTCGTCTGAACTCTCCAGTTAACTCATCCTTCTTAGGTCCGAATATTCTACGCAATACTTTATTTTCAAAAACCTTAAGACGCTGCTCATCCCTTAATGTAAGCGGCCAAGTTTCGCACCCATAAAGAACTGTAGGCAAGATAATTGTTTTATAGATTCTAATTTTTAAGTTTCGGGACAAGAGGCGCGAACTAAGTAGTTTTGTCACAGAAAAATAACATGCATTTCCCGCCTTCAGTCTAACCTTAATTTCTTCTTCAATTTCGTTTTTTCTAGTTATCGTAGAACCTAGATACCTAAACTTATCTACCTGTTCAAACATATTACCATCTATATCGATATCACCAGTAGTGTCGCCATTTTTGCAGCTAACCATATATTTTGTTTTATCCACGTTTATTTCGAGTCCTAGTTCTTTACCGGCTTTCATTAACGTTGTCGTATTTAGTTTTATAGTTTCAACATCTTCGCTTAACAGTACCAGATCATCCGCATAGCCCAGCACCGATGTTGTCCCACACAGATCCAACCCTTTCTCGGTACGCATTACCTTCCTAATGGCATGTTCTAATGCCAAATTGAACAGGACAGGCGAAAGGGAATCACCCTGTTTTAAACCCGAACGAACCTCAAATTTTTCGGACAGATTATTACCGATTCTAACTTTATTGAGTGTCTCCGTCAAGCACATCCTGACTAGATTTACTAGTTTTTTTGGAATCCCCTGCTCGATTAGAATATTATACAGTTTCTGGCGGTCAATAGAATCGTAAGCCTTTTTAAAATCTATATACAGCTGGTGAACAATACCGTTATACTCCAATTTTTTCTCTAATATTTGCCGTAAAGAAAATATTTGATCAATAGTCGAACGATTCCGTCTAAATCCGCATTGGTAGTCTCCGATAATTTCCTCGGCGTATTCCGTGATTCGACTGGTTAAGATTAAAGTAATATTTTATAACATACCGGAAGAGTGAAATTCCTCGATAGTTATTACAATCCGTCCTCGGACCCTTTTTGTGAATCGGAATAAGAATAGATTCTTTCCATTCTTCAGGTAATTTCTCGTTCACCCAGATCTTTTTAACCAACCGATGTATTTTAGAAACTCCAGCTTCCCCGCATGCCTTAATTAGTTCAGTAGGAATATTATCGATTCCCGCTGCTTTATAAGATTTTAATTTTCCGATAGCTAATTCAACTTCCTCTTTACTCGGTTCTTCTATCAACGGTTCAGCACTCTGGTACTCAGAAGGAGGACACAGATCATAATTTCCCGTATTTAAAATATTGTCAAAGTGGTCCTTAAACTTATTCAATATGTCAACCGGATCGGTCAGAATATTGTTATTATCATCCCTAATTCCAGACGTTACGGGCCCTACATATTTACGTGATCTGTTTATACTCTTTGTACATGTCTCTTACGTTATTTTCGATTCTATTAGTTTCTATTTCAATTATTTTATTTTTAAGATACTCCCTTTTTTTATTTTTGAGCAATTTTGTCGTTTCGTTCTTTGAGATTCGGAAGTATTCCAGATTGTCTTCGCTAGGATTATTTAGAGCTTTTAATTTAGCGGCTTTTCTTTTTTCGCACATGTTTAAGCAATCTTCATCAAACCACGGTTTGTTATTCTTATTTTCCTTTTTCCTAGACACGAGTTACCGACCGCTTTAATATTATCCCTGATCTCTACCCATAACTTGTCAATATCCTCGTGGTCCTCGTCAGGAAGCTCTAAAGCTTCAAACCTATTCTTAACATCTAGCTCGAATTGGTTCTAATTGATGGATTTTTTAATTTTTCCAAATTAAAATTCTCAAAATCGAAACGGTTTTCTTTTCTCTTTTTTATATTAAGTTTTTGTCGAAGTTTCGCGATTACTAATTCATGATCCGACCCACATTCTGCTCCGCGATAAGACCGTACATTAATTATACTGCTTTGCCAGCTATGTTGTATCAAGACATGATCGATTTGATTTCGTGTTTGCGAATCCGGTGATGTCCAAGTATATTTATGAATATCCTATGTTTAAACGTCGTACTTTTAATTATCAGGTTTTTCGAGATGGCAAAGTTTATCAGACGGATCCCATTATCATTACTATATTCGTGCAAACTTTCTTTACCAATCGTCGGAATATAAACTTCTTCCCTTCCTACCTTTGCGTTCGCGTCACCTACAATTATTTTCATGTAGTTTCGCGGTAGTTTATCATAAACCCATTCGAGTTTATCGTAAAATTCACTTTTGACTTCATCGTCACTGTCTTCGGTCGGACAATGTATGTTTATTAATGCGATTTTAAACCAACGTCCCTGAAATGTAGCTACCGAAATTCTATCACTAAAGAATTGTACGTCCCTCAAAGCGGATAGTAATCTACTCCTAATTAGAAACCCGGTACCTAAACAATGATTCCCGCTTCCTCCGTACCAAATAGTGTACTTTCCTTCCCTCATCGAGCCCTCCCCTGGCCAGCGAACCTCTTGCAGAGCCACGACATCCAAATTGTACCCATTTACCTCATTCGCGACCGATTTTAGCCCCCCTGCTGTGTTTAAACTCCTTACGTTCCACGTACCAATATTTAAATCCCTATATTTCAACTTGCGCCATGAATCCCCTAAAGCAGTCCCCACCCGGAGACCCGAACGGGGGACTAGTTTACCTCCGGATAATGAGCGTTTTACCTTAGGGAGATCCATGACTTTTTGTGGTGTTTGGTGAACTAAAGATATGTGAGTAGGGCGTTCAATCCTACGTCACACCCTCCAGCAAGTCTGGTGGGCCCCTACCTCCAGCAAGTCTGGTGGGCCCCTACCTCCAGCAAGTCTGGAGGGCCCCTCTCATTGTTGGTCAGCGAGTCCATCGGTCTTAGCCGGGAGGAACTTCCAAGGAATTTCCATCGACCATCCCCACATCCGCCACCCGTGGGACGCTCCCCATACGCAGTAATGAGCCCGTGCGAGGTATTTTCCGGATAACCCAATATAATTCTGTATCTTGTAAAATATATTAATATATCTCATAAATTATCAAAATATAAACATAACTAGAGTATTGCTCAATAAATAGTTAAAATATAGCCTCTTAGATCTTATGCACAGATTTATACAAAAACCATGTTAATAACTCAAAAGATCTGTAGAGAAATCAAAATGATTTTTAATAAAATTTTATATTTTTAGAAGTATCTAATTTTGATCTTAAACGTTGTGATAACATAAATGAAGCACGAGGAATACTAACTAAAATTCCAAATATCATATATATTACCTAATGCTTTCAAAGCATTATTTATAATTAATACTAACATTATATACAGATGTTATTTATCTCATATGAGTATAAAAATATCTATATAACGCAATGCAAAAGACAAACAAAATTTGATCAAAAATTTTATTTTTAACAAAATATTTTTATAGGACAGTTTTCGCGTTATGGAATGAGTGTTTAACAGAGAGACTTCTGGAAAAAAAACCAATAGAGTAATAGACATGAAACTCAATGCGCCCTATGAAAATTTAAAAATTTTGAATATATCAACAACTACACTGTAAAAGCCTGTTAGTACAATTTAATTAGAATGGATGGTTTTGGGCTTTCCCAGTTAATCTTAGCCTCTGATATATTCATAAAAATAAACTAAAAACGTTATTTAGAACATTACATCATTGTTTTAAGCATGCAATATAAATTACACTTATAGGCTTTTGCAGTGTGACTGTTGAATCACCATTCAAATCTACATTCTTCATATATATACAGGAACAAATATAGCAAGAATTGATTAATAAATGTATAGTATAAGTTACCTAGAGAGTGATGCATTGGTTGATCATCAGCTTGACTGGCCTCCCCGCCTGATAGATCTGACAGATCTATGTCGTAATTTACTGTTACAAGGGCTTCATCTGGATAAGAAGGTATTTGCCACTCTGGACTATCTTGTCGTGGGGATCGTGGTCTGGGTTGTTGCACTCTTTCTTCAACAATCTAAGAAAAAAAAATTATAAAATTCGATAGATATTAAAATTAGCCATTAGTCAAACTTTCATTTTACAGATATGACATTTTATAAGTAAATATCCTACTTTTTTTTCTACCTGCTCTTGAATTTTACAAATCTATTAAAATTACATTAACAATTCTCGATTGACACAAAGATTATAAAAGAAAAATTAAATTTTCAAAAGTATGATTGAATGTGAAACTTCATACTTAATAAAATTAAGTAGGTTGTGAAGAGTAAAGTTATTATTTTTATTAAACTGTTAAGCAATTTAAGAGCTTTAAAATGTTTTCATCAAATACTAAGTATTTTCTTTCATAAATCCTCTTTCTTTACGAATACTGGTGTAAACTTCATATTGTTTTTATTTATGATTTTACTTTACAGTTACTGCTTACAACCCATAATTATCATTCTAAATATAGTTGAAGATAATAATAACGATTTTGTAGATAACAACACCCAATTACCTACCTGTGGAGACAACGGAGGAGGTAAATCAGCAATAGCAGGATCTTCAGCATCAATGTCCATAGGTTCTCTGATTGGGCGCAGCTCAAGAGGCACATTTTCTCGCAAATCAGAAACCCTTTCCAACATCTCATCCTATTTTCATAAATTCTTTATCACTACTGTTTAATTATAAAAACAAATATCATAACTACAGTTACATGACAAAAAAAAAAAACATTTTCAAAAGATCACCTTAAATTTCATCAATTTATTACTAACATGATTGTAATGTGAAACTAATAAGAAATATATTAAACTAAGTTATAAACTGAAACACAAATTTTTCATTAAATATGACATAAATACAAGAGTTTAGTTTAATGCTATGGTATACATCCTTATTTCTTATAAAATGGTCTATCACCTAGTAAAACATTATTAAAGTCCAATTCAATAGACTGAATAAAAAAAATAATCTTTTCTCAATCAAAAATCTCAGTATTACACTGAAGTAAATAGAATGAGAAAATGACGTTTTAGACTAAATAAATCGCTTGTAAATACAAATGTTCTAATACAATATAATTGGCTTTCGGTTGCTAGAATTTTAGTGGAAAACAGAAAATTTCAAGTTAATGAGTTTTTCAACTAATTGATGTTTGAGGTAAGGAGATCTAAAGGAATTAACTGCAAGTTATTTAGGTAACAAGTTCATTAAAAGGTCTTATGATTCCAACTCAAACAATAAAATAGTAACAATAAATAATAGATATGAAACTAAAATATCCTGATAAATTATGTATTTTCATACTCATTTATGCAATTATTTTATACAATAGAACAATTTTATCCGAATATTATCATTTATGTTTTCTTCAAGTTTGGAGCCATCTGTTTGAAACACGAAACCCTAATCTAATTTTTAGTGAATTCTACAGCACTCTGCCATGATACGTCCCTCTGAGGAAACCATTTTCGTTTCAGCACTGCTTCACAATTTAAAAACACAGACATCAGGATGTGTAAAATATTTGGGTTATTCTTATCCACTATATGCATCAAACTTGTTCTGATTTTTTTAATTTGTTAATAAAGTATTTAGCGGTATGTCGAATCGTTTTAGCTATGTCTGCTTTTTCCCCTTATGTTTCATCTAATTGAAGCTTTAATAGTTTTGTATCATACTTGATATTTCTTCTCCATGGTCAAAATATTACAGATGTTTCGGAGACAATTAAAAAAAAATCAGTAGTAAACGATGGAATAGAGATTTTACTATATAAAATTTTCCGTAGTATTTAAAATGATTGACCTTAATACTATCAATGTCTATTTACACTTAAATATTTTTTTTAGATTGATGAGGAGGGGGACACAGATTCCATGAAACGTACAAGTAAATAATAATCAAAAGTCAATTTTTATTTTTATTATTCTGAACTGAGAGGCATAAACTTAAGTGTAAATAAAATTTGTTTAGTTCAGATAAACTTCGTTATTTTGAAACATTTGACTTATAAAGGTAACAATACGATAAAACACAATAGGAAAATGAAGGAGACTCGAAAAAAAATCAAGTTACAGAGAGCCAACTGTATTACTACCTTATAATATGATTTTTTTAAATTTATTTTATTATCCTAGAAAAGTTGTACGAAAGTGAATTTGTATATTTAAGATTTTTATATGTTTGAGAAGTTACTGCAACTTTTTTATCAGAATCGGCTCACCAGAAGTGGCACTTTACTGTAGTAAATAATTGCATATAATAAAGCTTGTAATTATTGTTATATAATTTTGTTATTTATTTCTTATAAATCCTAAATTCAAATGCATAAAAACAAATTTTAAATGAGGTACCTGAAATTTTATCATTTCGTCTTTTAAAGCTTCAATTTCCATCATGATAGCAGCATGTCTTTTCCTTAAATCTCCAAATATTGTCAGATTTTCATTAATTAAATGCATACCCTAAAATGAAATAAATATTTAACAACAGAAGGATTTAAATATAACATAAATAAATTAAACACCTAAAATTTTTAATTACTTCACACATGATAAGAGCAGATTCCCAAGTTCCGGACGGTATAATTTTTCCTGACATGTATTGGTTGAACTCATCTTCTGGCATATTAAGTGACTCATAAGTCAAATTTTCTATGAATGAAACTGCGCAACACTGTAACATGAAATTATCACTTCAAAATTCAGACCTTTAATATTAATTTTAAAAAATAATATTTAAATTAAATTATTAATAACCAATTTATAATAAGCCAACCAATAAACCAATTTATTCTCAGTTTAACAATAGGGAATATGAATTTACGAAGGCATAGCTCAATAACAATTAGTTGGCAGCCAGAGGACTAACTCATGTGGCACTAACACAAGTGGAAACTCATACTTCATTTCTTCTCTTACCCTCCAAAATTATTTATAAAATGTTTAGGAATAAATATATATATATTACAAGATGATATTGTTTACTTTTAATATATTTGTATCTATATTTATATGGGTATATCTTCTTCTTAAGATATATTATTGAATATACATAAGTTTTTCTTCTTCTACAATTAATTTTGGTCAATCTATAGATATAGTTTGCTAAAAGAAAAGGAAGATACATTTAATCTTAACTTCAGTGTTGCTCAATGGTTTTCAAACTTTTAGCCTTGAAAACATCGGTGAAACAAAAACATAATTAAAAAATATAAATTATAAATTGTGTTGGTGATAAAGTTGAGTTGGTACTTGGTGGCCGAGTAATCAGGCTAGAAGGGGAACAACTGAAGGCAATAGAAACATTCAAATGCCTTGGAGCATATATACATGAGTAAGGAAGGCATCATAGACTGTAAAATAAGGGAGAGATTAGTTCCAGTAGGGAGGTTATTTAATGCCCTGCAAAATTCATTTGTTGCAAAGTCTCAAGTTTGAAAGACACAAAGAAGAGAGTGTTCAAGAGAGCCTTTCTGTTTATCATATCTTATTCCTGTGATTCATGGACTCTAACCAGCAAGCATACAAACCAACTTCATACCATGGAGATGAAATTACTTCAGAAAATTGAAAGAAAAGCTCGCAGAGACTGGGTGAGAAACACCACAATAAGGAACAACTTCAGTCTAAAATCATTACATGAAACTCTGGAGGAGAATCATCTGTGATGGTTTGGACATGTCTCACAGTTGCCAGGTGAGAGAATAACTATGCTGACCTATGACATGAAGGCAGAGGTAAGGAACGAAGGACAATCTTGAAAAACCTGGGAGGAAGGTGTTAGAGAGGCGTTCGTGGCCTCGAATCTGGATTGGAGAAGAAGAGAGGGCATGACTGAGCACAATGGATCAAGCTCTATAGAAAGGATACTCACACTACACCATACAGTAGACAAGGAGCAGGTTAAGAAGAAGAAGATAAAGATGAAAGTGTGACTAAAATCGCAACAGAAAACGAAGCTGATGAACAAAATGTCAGGGAATGGTCAAAACCTAGAAAAAGCATTGTGGTATTGGTTTCTTCAGCGGAATCAATTCCTACTTGTTAAAGTTAAAACTATCAAGATTGGTCAAATTTAGTTCAAGACATGTTTTTTTCTGATAAATATAAATGTATCACTGTTATATTTTATGATTTTTCTTTCATTAATAAATAAGTAAATAAATTTATTATCAATGTTTTTGATAATCCTCGCACCTTCCCTTCTGTCATTACCCCAAAATTGAGGTTTCGCTGAATATTTTAATCTACATCAAGTTATTTTATTATTTAATTTTCAAAGACTAAATTAAAATTAACATTTTTAGAAGATGATGATCCACATGCTTAATTCAACTAAACTTCCTGAAATGGTCTGAATAACAGAAGTCTAACTGAATTATATTAATCATTGACATCTACATCTATAAAATATTCTATGAATAAATATTATAATTTATCATAGTCGCATAGAAGAAATAATAAATAATCATTAATTCGTAAATAAAGCAAAAGAATAAATAAATTTGTTTTGTACAGAAACTAAGTACCTATAAATAATTTTTAAAAAAACTCAGCCTGGACTATCTCAATAGATGCGTCCGCGTGGGATGTTCAAAACTGTTTTATAATGAAAGAAAAAAAGCAATCACAAGATAAGGAAATAAACATTGATAATATTTCAGTGACTAATCACTAGAAAGAAATGAGAACAGATGGAGCAGTTATCGACCCCACAATTTATATAAATTTGCTTCCCCTAGCTTTAAATCATTAAGGATTATTTCTTTGACCAAGACAGTACAATATTTCAGTAATTTTAAGCACAGTGTGAATATGTCTAGAACCTAGAAATTTATGGGTAGATAGTAAAACTTTGTATAAAGAACTGGTTAAAACTATGATTCAGAAGCAGGTTGTGATAAGAAGGCAGTTCATTAGGATGAAGGAATCTATTTTAGAAAGACAATTAGATAAGCAAAAAAGAAAGAATAAAGATTAAGTCAAAGAATATGTATACAATTTTTTTAAAAATGAAATTAAGCATGATTATGTATAAGTTTGTGTTTATCTATAAGCATTAAAACTCATCATGAGAAATAAACTAGTTAGGTTTTGCAACACATTTTACCAACAATAACACAATAATAAAACAAAGAATTAAATAAATCAGTTCTACAAGAACCCATAAACTATCTCAAGGACGAGCATAGGAAGAAGGGCTTCAATCCCAGGACTAACTTCATCTAGAGAGTTAAAGATGGCTCACTCCAGGCAAAATGTTTTGTGGAATTTGTTCCACCGTTGGAACAGTGCAGAACAAAATGAGGCAATAGGATCTTCATTCGCTGGAATGAAATTTGAGTTCAGAGCATGAACAGTATTAGGTTTTGTTTCATTCGGGGTAAGATCCAGTCTATGATATTATTTTAGCATCAGTCTTTGTGTAGTGTTATTTTTAGTTTAAATTTATAAGTCATAAATTAATTAAATTGTATAAGAGGGCTAAAATTAGTAGGGTAACAGGAGGACTAGAGAGGGAGCCTCCCACACTCTTTGGTAAATTATTATACCTCAATGTCCAACCTCTTGACTGCCTTCCCAAATTTTCCTATCCCTACCAACGCCTTGAAGACAAAGGTGTAGTGGGCTCAAACAAAATATACCAATCTTTCATCGATCTATTTGAGGTACCAGACAACACCTCATTGTACTTGGAGTACTGGGTAGTTCCTGTAGCCTATTCAAATAAAAATTAAGAACAAAAATACTTATTTTTTTAATAATATAAATTTATCTGAGGAAGAAAATCTTCCACAGGGCTTGTAAACATTTTAGGAACATCACTTGAAGAGACCCTAGACAAAGAACAGATCTTAGAACCCTAATCCTAGATAGTTGAGGAAAGTGGCAACCACAGCTAATGTACCTAATCGTTAGAGCCAATTGGGAGCTACAGTCATAAATAAATGTGGGATTGCAATGATTTTTTCATTTTGTAGAGAATTTAACCTTTCAAATTATCATGAGCATAATTAACCATCAATGTTTTCTTTTCTTTAGAACTTTTTCTCTAAACTTTTCTAAGTATGTATATGTATATATATACATTTTATTTTTTTATTTTTTTTTTTTTTTTTTTTTTTTTTTTTTTTTTTTTATTTAATTTTTTTTTTTTTTTTTTTTTTTTTTTTTTTTTTTTTTTTTTTTTTTTTTTTTTTTTTTTTTGGCAAGAACACTATAATCTTCAAAATGATGGCATAATCATTGGATTTGATGAAGATTAATGAAGATATGGCACACGAACAGAAAATAGCTTTGAGAAATAATTTGAAGGGATAAAAACCAAATTAGTAATTTAAATAGAAAAGAAAAATTAAGTTAAAGTTCTGGGTATAACAAAAAATAAGGTATTTAAAACAACACAAGTGACAAAAAAAAAAAGGAAAATTAAAATATATCATGGAACAACTGTCCAAAATCTTTTTAGTGACAGAAGTAATGATTAAAAGAAAGAATATCAGTTAAACAGATTTTTACATAAATTAAGCGTTTAATTTGCAGAGCAAAAACTTAAAATTAATTCTAGTTAATTTTTTCATGCATACCAAGTTCGTAAAATAATAGCCTCCTTCACCAGACATCAGCTTACTCGCATTGCAAAATCTTGTAACATAGTTAATATTGCTTTTCAACCGAGCAGGATTGGCTTTCAAAACAACAAATATCAAAGCAGGAAGAAAATCATCAGCTGAGGTGGGACCACCAACACATTTTTGCATTAGATGTAAAATCTTTCTACAGCAACGCATCACACAACCAAGTTTGTCTTGAGGTGCTTTTGTCGAATCCATTCCAAGTAATTCTATCAACAATTACACACATGAAATATAGCAGATAGAAGATGAATAAACAATTTTTAAAAAAGATATTGGTGTTATATATAATACTAAAATTTTAAAAAATAAAATAAAAATAACTATATACTATTTTAATAAAAAGTACTGCTGTATGATGTCTACAAATATACAGTTTTTATAATATAATCTGACAATATGCAGTTCGTTTATTGAAAAAAATATCACTCAGTATATTTTTTGATAGAGCTTGAACTTTTAAAAATGCTTTTCTGAATTTCAACAGTAATTAAAAATTTAAAAAAACACAGTAAGTACATCAAAATGACACAAACCAAAAGAATATGTGAAAAAATTGGATTAGCACAAATGTTCTGTCTTACATATTATCTTCGAAACTCAGACATGGCTTTTATTAATTATACTCTCTAAAGCCTAAAAACACTTCCAAAAATCTCTCTATTTAATCCCACAGAGCACCTAAGGCATGAAATCAATTGACTAGTAAGAAAACAACAGATAAGGAATGGCTAAGAATTAAAAACAGGTGGTAATTGAAAAATAGGCGAAATTTCTTGAGAAATTATAGGAAAGTGAGTAGAATCCATGACACCTGTTTATTTGAAGTCATGAGAGACAAAGAAGCATCCAAAAGTTTTTATTAGGTAGAAAAAAATTAATTACAAAGTGTTCACAGCCTTTTTTTTTTCCCATGTTTATGAAAAATCATGACAAAATAATTTCTAGAACAATTAATAACCAGAAAAATACCATAAGATTTTATATTAAATAAAAACTTAATGTTCCTTTTATTACCAACAGTGGTTAATTAGATTAATACAATAAAATTGAGATAGTATGTTCACAGAAGCACAGTAGCATTGTTCCTACTGCAGTATACTTTTGGGTGGTCCGGAAAATAATGCAGGATTTTGAGTTTTCTTTAAAATACCCCTCTATATAACAAACTATCAACGTTTACTGAATTATTCATCTATATGAATGTCAACATTTATAAATCCTCTTCCAAACAATAACGCTTGTTTACCTATAGCAGCATTTTGCTGCTTATAAATAATTCAGTATTTGATGTCAACACGTGATTATCATATAATTTTGTTTTACAAGTTTAAACTCCACCGGAATGGAGTCCAGATGCCCAAAAACAACAATAAAGTCTGGGACGAGAGCTGCATTAATGAGTGCACTGTTCAACAGTGGTTCGAAAAACTTCAGGAGGGAGACTTCAGCCAGAAGACAAAGAAGGTCATGGAAGGACTTCCTCTCTTGATGACAATGTTCTACAGGCTTTGGTGGAAGAAAACCCCAGACAAACTTTTTGAGAACTTGCAAGGAAACTTAACCTTAGCAAATCAACCATTGATGACCAGCTCAAAAAAAGGTAAAAAAGATTGACAGTTGGGTTCCACACACACTAAACAACCAACAAAAAAAGCAGCGTTATGAAGTTTGTGCTACACTTCTTTGCCAAAACAAAAATAACCCTTTTCTTTCCAGAATTGTTACTTGTGATGAAAAGTGGATACTTTACAATAACAGTAGATGTTCTGGACAGTGGCTAAACTAAGGAAAAGCAGCAGAACATTTTCCAAAGCCTCCAACTCATCAAAAAAAGGTTATGGTTATCGTTACTGTTAGATGGGTTTCATTTGGTTTGGTACACTACAGCTTCTTAAATCCTGGCCTATAAAAATATCAATACCAAATTGTATTGTAACTACATTAATGCAATTTATCAAAAATTGGCAATAATGAAGCCAACTTTGATCAATCGGAAGGGGCTCAATTTGTTGCATGACAATGCCCGGCCATATGTTCACGTGTGTCGTTACAAAAACTGTTGGAGCTTGGTTAAGAAACTCTGCTAAATCTGCCTAACTCTCCGGACCTCTCGCCTGCGGATTATCACTTTTTTAGACACCTGGACCACTACTTACATGAAAAAAAATTTAATGGACAAGAGGAATTAGAAAATTAGTTTTTGGAATTTATCAATACCACAGATAGGAAATTTATTTATTATTTATTTGGTATTTTGTTGCCTCTACCCTGTAGGGTCATTGGCAATGCCTTTAAATTACACTCTGTTGCAGAGTTTTATCACTTTCGTTAACGATTTCGTCAGGGTCAGTTATAATGTCTTGTCCACTCTTTATACCAGGCAATTTCTTTGTTTTGGAGATCCCCTTAATGCTTTTCACTTTATTCCAGAGCTCCTTCATGGAAATGCTTTGATTTAATGAAGATACGAAGTCTTCCCATGACGATCTTTTGCTTTTCGGTATATATCGCAATCTTTGTATCTCACTGTTTGAGTTTCTTGTAAGTGTGTTTCTTGGAGACAAACTAGAATAGGGTTCCCTTCGCTTATTGTCATTTTTAGGTGCTCTAAATGTCGGAAAAATCTGTTACAATTCCATTGAATGATTGTTTTCATTTTGATTGACAAATAATAATAATAATAATAATAATAAGGCTTAGCGAACCCGAAGGTTCGATGCCGACACCACCAATCGCTTGTTACACACCTCCCTCCACCGTTCGCCGTCCAAACCCAGTCCCTTCAGATCGGCTTTAATGCAATCTTCCCACCTTCGCTTCGGTCTACCCCTTGGACGCTTACCATTCGGCACAGCAAATATTAACCTTTTAGGAATTCTCTCGTTACTAAGCCCAACAACTTTACAAGCCCATTTGATTCGCCGCGATGAAATTACATCAATTATATTACCCGGATACAGCTCACGCAATTCGGCGTTGTGTAGCCGTCTGAACTCTCCGGTTAACTCATCCTTCTTCGGTCCGAATATTCTACGCAATACTTTATTTTCAAAAACCTTAAGACGCTGCTCATCCCTTAATGTAAGTGGCCAAGTTTCGCATCCATAAAGAACTGTAGGCAAGATAATTGTTTTATAGATTCTAATTTTTAAGTTCCGGGACAAGAGGCGCGAACTAAGTAGTTTTGTCACAGAAAAATAACAAGCATTTCCCGCCTTCAGTCTAACTTTAATCTCTTCTTCAATTTCGTTTTTTCTAGTTATCGTTGAACCTAGATACCTAAACTTATCTACCTGTTCAAACATATTACCATCTATATCGATGTCACCAGTAGTATCGCCATTTTTGCAGCTAACCATATATTTTGTTTTATCCACGTTTATTTCGAGTCCTAGTTCTTTCCCGGCTTTCATTAACGTTGTCGTATTTAGTTTTATAGTTTCAACGTCTTCGCTTAACAGTACCAGATCATCAGCATAGCCCAGTACGGATGTTGTCCCGCCCAGATCCAACCCTTTCTCGGTTCGCATTACCTCCCTAATGGCATGTTCTAATGCCAAATTGAACAGGACAGGCGAAAGTGAATCCCCCTGTTTTAAACCCGAACGAACCTCAAATTTTTCGGACAAATTATTACCGATTCTAACTTTATTGAGTGTCTCCGTCAAGCACATCCTGACTAGATTTACTAGTTTTTTTGGAAGCCCCTGCTCAATTAGAATATTATACAGTTTCGGTCAATAGAATCGTAAGCCTTTTTAAAATCTATATACAGCTGGTGAACAATACCTTTGTACTCCAATTTTTTCTCTAATATTTGCCGTAAAGAAAATATTTGATCAATAGTCGAACGATTCCGTCTAAATCCGCATTGGTAATCTCCGATAATTTCCTCGGCGTATTCCGTAATTCGACTGGTTAAGATTGAAGTGAATATTTTATAACATACCGGAAGGAGTGAAATTCCTCGATAGTTATTACAATCCGTCCTCGGACCCTTTTTGTGAATCGGAATAAGAATAGATTCTTTCCATTCTTCAGGTAATTTCTCGTTCACCCAGATCTTTTTAACCAACCGATGTATTTTAGAAACTCCAGCTTCCCCGCATGCCTTAATTAGTTCAGTAGGAATATTATCGATTCCCGCTGCTTTATATGATTTTAATTTTCCGATAGCTACTTCAACTTCCTCTTTACTTGGTCCTTCTATTAACGGTTCAGCACTCTGGTACTCAGAAGGAGGACACAGATCATAATTTCCCGTATTTAAAATATTGTCAAAGTGGTCCTTAAACTTATTCAATATGTCAACCGGATCGGTCAGAATATTGTTATTATCATCCCTAATTCCAGACGTTACGGGCCCTACATATTTACATGATCTGTTTATACCTTTGTACATGTCTCTTACGTTATTTTCGATTCTATTAGTTTCTATTTCAATTATTTTATTTTTAAGATACTCCCTTTTTTTATTTTTGAGCAATTTTGTCGTTTCGTTCTTTGAGATTCGAAGTATTCCAGATTGTCTTCGCTAGGATTATTTAGAGCTTTTAATTTAGCGGCTTTTCTTTTTTCGCACATGTTTAAGCAATCTTCATCAAACCACGGTTTGTTATTCTTAGTTTCCTTTTTTCCTAGGCACGAGTTACCGACCGCTTTAATATTATCCCTGATCTCTACCCATAACTTGTCAATATCCTCGTGGTCCTCGTCAGGAAGCTCTAAAGCTTCAAACCTATTCTTAACATCTAGCTCGAATTGGTTTCTAATTGATGGATTTTTTAATTTTTCCAAATTAAAATTCTCAAAATCGAAACGGTTTTCTTTTCTCTTTTTTATATTAAGTTTTTGTCGAAGTTTCGCGATTACTAATTCATGATCCGACCCACATTCTGCTCCTCGATAAGACCGTACATTGATTATACTGCTTTGCCAGCTGTGTTGTATCAAGACATGATCTATTTGATTTCGTGTTTGCGAATCCGGTGATGTCCAAGTATATTTATGAATATCCTTATGTTTAAACGTCGTACTTTTAATTATCAGGTTTTTCGAGATGGCAAAGTTTATCAGACGGATCCCATTATCATTACTATATTCGTGCAAACTTTCTTTACCAATCGTCGGAATATAAACTTCTTCCCTTCCTACCTTTGCGTTCGCGTCACCTACAATTATTTTCATGTAGTTTCGCGGTAGTTTATCATAAACCCATTCGAGTTTATCGTAAAATTCACTTTTGACTTCATCGTCACTGTCTTCGGTCGGACAATGTATGTTTATTAATGCGATTTTAAACCAACGTCCCTGAAATATAGCTACCGAATTCTATCACTAAAGAATTGTACGTCGCTCAAAGCGGATAGTAATCTACTCCTAATTAGAAACCCGGTACCTAAACAATGATTCCCGCTTCCTCCGTACCAAATAGTGTACTTTCCTTCCCTCATCGAGCCCTCCCCTGGCCAGCGAACCTCTTGCAGAGCCACGACATCCAAATTGTACCCATTTACCTCATTCGCGACCGATTTTAGCCCCCCTGCTGTGTTTAAACTCCTTACGTTCCACGTACCAATATTTAAATCCCTATATTTCAACTTGCACCATGAATCCCCTAAAGCAGTCCCCACCCGGAGACCCGAACGGGGGACTAGTTTACCTCCGGATAATGAGCGTTTTACCTTAGGGAGATCCATGACTTTTTGTGGTGTTTGGTGAACTAAAGATATGTGAGTAGGGCGTTCAATCCTACGTCACACCCTCCAGCAAGTCTGGTGGGCCCCTACCTCCAGCAAGTCTGGAGGTCCCCTCCCTCCAGCAAGTCTGGAGGGCCCCTCTCATTGTTGGTCAGCGAGTCCATCGGACTTAGCCGGGAGGAACTTCCAAGGAATTTCCACCGACCATCCCCACATCCGCCACCCGTGGGACGCTCCCCATACGTGGTAATGAGCCCGCGCGAGGTTTGATTGACAAAGTGTTTCTTATTTCCTAGATTATTATTATCACCATGTGTTATTTTTAAATGCTCGGTAGTGTTCAAGGAGTGCTCATTCAAAATCTTTATTAGTTTTGAGGTTCTGATTTTCAGCCCTCTATGTGATACTGTGTCTCTGATATCTGAGAGCATTGTTTTCAGACCGTTTACATTGTTTGTAAACTGAGACATGATATCAGTAGCGTTTGATTAATTTTCTCCCGGAGTCATGTCGAGTAATAGGCATATTTTTTCGTAAGTGAGAGAGTAAGTGCTTTTGTTGTTTAAGATCATGGTTCGCACGGGTCCAAGTATGGTTTCAGTGGGAATTCTGGTCTTCTTTGTTTTAATATTTGAGCCGGCTTTGTACTTTTTCGCAGGTAATGATACTGTATCTCTAGTTTGTGAACGTTGTTGGTTTTTGTTGATCCCTTGATTCTGTGATAAGTATGGTTTGGATTTACATGGGGTTGTAACAGTGATGTTATTCCGTTTTTGTTTCTGGTCATCATCCTGCATATATTTCTCAGTGCCAGATGTACCTATCAATGTTTCCTTGTCAGTACATTTATTAGTAGGTGTTTTCTCGTCAGTATGTTTGTCAATAGGTGTTTTCTTGTCAGTATATTTATTAATAGGCGGATTGTCACCAATGGTTACCTGCCTATTACTATATTCCAAGTCGCCTGGTGTATTAGACTCAATGACTACAGCATCAATCCTTACCTCTTTCTCCAAACTACCCTCTAAATCAACTGTGCTTAAGCATGGCTCGATCTCAGTTGATTGGAGCGTGTGCTCAATATTTCCCGGATTATACCCTTCCGGCAGTTCTTTTTCTAAACATTTCGCTGCAAAATGTCCCGGTTTCTTGCAGATGTAACAGACTATAACATCTTCAGCGAGAAAAATCCGGTAATTGATTCCCTGATAAGAAAAGGCAACCGTGCTACTTAACTTAGTTATATCATCCGCCTCTATAAATACCTGTCGTCGGAACGTTAGTACATGGCTCGGGTTTTTTTCCTTATACCCGAAGCGTAAGAAAGTTATTGGTGATAATAGCCTAATCCCTAGCTTCTGAATCTCTTCTTCCAAAATTGTTTGAGGTATACTGGGGCAAGCACCGGAAATAATTATCTGCATTCCTGGATCAACCAGTCGTTTAATTGGTATCTTATGATCTCCTATCGTCATACAGGAGTGCTTCATTAGAAGCATATCAACTTGATGCTTGCTACTCAAATGAAAGCAAAATCTATTTCCAGAAATTCGAGAGGCATACCTAATATGACTGGGTTCCATTATCTCAGCGAGTGCTTCGATATACTGTTTCTGCTTCACACCGTTAACAGTAGGAACAATAATGGCATACTCACGGTCAGAGCTCAGTTGGTATGACGGCACTTTGGCATAGGTAGGGCCAGGTTCCTTAACTTCCCAGTTTACAGCCTTATTGCAGACTTCCATTTTTCCTGATTGAGTGTTCTGGAGTAGTCCACACACCTCAGCATTCCTTCCAGCGCCTGGGCCATCTTGTGATCCCTCCATTACCGAGCCTTGCACTTGAAGTGCCTGCCCTGACAGATTCTTTCCTGCAGACACTTTCCTGTTAATGAGCAGGAGTGTTACGATCGGCAGCCACTGGAGTTGACTTTCCTTAGTCGTTGGAAACCGCCGTCTGATAGTTTTACAATGCTATTTTGATATTCTATTAGATAGGAAATTCTATTTTGAGCGAATGGAAAAGTTGCCAACACGTTGGCAGAAATGTATTGATAGTAGTGGAGACTATTTTGATTAAATAAAACAGTTGTAAATTTTTAAAATCTTTCTATTTTAAAAGTTGAAAATCTTTCTATTTTCACCAAAATTCTGCATTATTTTTCAGACAAACCAATAGATTGAGAACGAACTATGTATTCATTAAGCTGGGAGATGTAAAGCTAGAATGTACTTATTGTCGCAAACCACAAAAGGGATGTCAGTTATTTTATACTTGAAGATTTAAAGTAGAAAATTGGAATTTAAGTTAGCACAGTTAAAAAGCGGGGTTGGGTCATTAAAAGTACAGTATTTTATTTTCAGACATGTTGAATGTACTAATTCCTTTGATAAAAATATGTCTTATAATGATTCTCACATTTAAACTCATGTTTACAAACAGTAAATATATACCCCGAAACTTATCATGTATCAAATAAACTGTGAACTATAATTTATATCTTATCTAACACAAATAATATTCATAATATATAATAAATGAGTATTAAGCAATACTGGTAACTTTACTTGAAACACTGACCTGTAATGGAACTATAAACCAAATCGTGGACTTCAGTACTCGTCTCATCTATGCCACAATCTAAATGTTTAGCACTAACCCAATTTAATTGTCTTATCCTTAAAAAAAAATACAATTATTCTAAAACATTCTTAATAATAATAATAAACAAGATACCTTCATATAATAACCAAACCTCTTTTGAATATAAAGATCTTTATCCTCATCGGTTGTTGTTGCAGGGCAAAACAATATTCTATAAAGACAAGTCATGGCGTATTTTTCAGCATAGTCAATCAGTTGTTCTTTTTCTTCACTGCTCAAACCTGAATTACAAAAAGGAAGGAATACATTATTCAGATAAAAATTATAAAATTATTTAATTAAACACAGACTAAAAATTACGAGCAAAACTGGGAGGACTAACTGGGTACTTGCATGGGAAAACAAATCGCATAAATTTGAACTGAAATAGAATTTAACTGATAAAGAACTTTATAAAATTTGAATTGGAACTCTTTAAAGAATCAAAAAAGTTTCATATTAAGCTAATAACAAGCAATCGGAGGTGTATGAGGACTGAGGGTGTGGTTTATGTCCACTTTAGTGTGACACATATGGCTGCAAAACACAATGCTGTCAAAGTTTCTCTTAACACTAATTTATTGACATGGAAAAACTGATATAATACATTTCAAACGTAATATTTCTAGGTGGAACTTTTGAAGCTGGAAGCACAATTGTAAATTAAAAGTATAAGATATTTGGATATCTTTGGACAGCTCATAGCTATGTTCTCTATGTTAGGTTTATAATAAAATAATTTACATAAGTGTTCGAGAACTATGATTATGTTTTATTCTGTACCAAACAGATGAATTATATATTATAATTCTTTGTTATTATAACAATAAGCCTCAGTATTTTGGATCGAGAGGTTTGTAATTTTAAAGAAAAATGATTAAATTGTAAATTTGTAGACTATCAAGGACAACAGTACTTTACCAAGAAACTATGCATGACAGAATAATTTTTTGTAAAATTAATTCCATAACAGCCAAAACTTAATACACATTTAAATGGACTAAACCATTCAGCCTAGCCTTAATAAGCTTGGAAGATGAACTATCCTAGTTCAATAATAAAATCCATTGTACGTATTATAACTTACAAGTACTAATGAAAGATAAAATTAATATTAATCAAATATAAATTACTGTGCTAATAAGGGAGGAGCTTCCAGGAGGCTATGGATCACCTCCTTACATGTGAGGAAAGTTGAGATTGAAAGAAGACAAATCAAAAAACTTTAGTTATGGCCAATAAAGAATATTAAGATTCATTTATCAAGAATCAAAATTCTTGAGTTGACTATCTGAACAGATAAATAAATTTTGTGACTCATCACAACTAAGGATTTTGAAATACATAATAAATACCTCTATAACAATTTTCTTCATCAAGCCGGGCAGTGAGAATCTGATAAAAGTTTTGAGCTCGTTCCGACAACTCATCGATAGATGTTAAAGGATTTTCAGCATCACTTAACAGTTTTTTGTAAAAACTCCGAATACATTTATGAATGTCAGTTTCTACTTTGGCACCAACTTTCGAAAAAAGCTCTTGATATTCAGCATGAACAGCTTCTGCCTCTCCCGTCTCTGGTCCAAAAAGTGATTCTGGTTTACCTCTATCTACAATAGTTCAATAATTAGAAATTAATATCTATCATAATTAAGTAGAATGTTAAAACAAAACAACCTGTATCACTATAACCCTTCAAGGATCTTGGGTTCAGCACTTTGTAAGGAAATACTGTTTCTTAGTTCTTAGTCAATGGTTGTGCAAGAAGGTAAATTTGACCGAAATCATACTCAACTCAAGAAATAGTTGTTTCCCTTTAACAATTATTTATTTAAGGGTACACACTTTATAGAGGTTGGGTGTTCCCCAAGAGGATTTCACGACCCCTGGGTCGATCCACAGCCAAAAAAACGAAATAAATAATGTTTTCAGTCGAATGTTAATCAATCAAAAAAATCATATAGACTTAAAAATGAATGTAGATTTAACGGTGAAGCATTAAATCAAAACAATTAAATACATAAATAAAATTAAAATATGATAGTATAATAATTCTATCATTTCTACTAAAATGAGTTAGGTACCTAACAGGATTAATTTTTTCACATCCGACTAAATGGTAACCATGGATATGACAAATATAAATCCTCTGTATGTTTTTTAGTTGAAATCTGCATAAATATAAATGTAAATATTCATTTGTTCAAAACCGCTAATCTCTGAAAATTCTTCACCGATTGCTTTGAAATATTGGCATAACGTTTATTCACTATTGGATTCAGAAGTGTTTTAATATACATTTAATTACACTCCAGCCTTTCGTTTTGGAAAGACAGTCAAAAAACCTGTATCGCTATAGACTGTAGCACCTACACGGCTGTAACGATTTTAATCAAACTTGGATAAAGTATTCTCCTTGAAGCCTTTTTAATTTATCTATGTAACATCCTACCCAAAAAGAGTATGACAAAAAGTTAAGATGGATTCAAAACTATATTTACGAATAACTCAAAAAGTACACAATTTTTGATCAACTATACCCATGATTATTTGAAAGCTTCCTAAATTCCCAGCAAATTTAAAAAAATAAATCACTAAAATCAGACAATTGGTGCAGAAATATAATGTTTTTAATGTTTAGTACTTTTTCTTCGGAGATTTAGAGACGGATTGCTTCTCACATAGACAAATCTAGATATACATTATATATTACGAATTCTAGAGTTGGAAAACCAGACAATCTCTATATCTATACAAAGAATGGAACAACTAAAATATCACATATCCACATGCATTGTGATATAAAATATATTAGAAACATCAACTTTCTTTTTTACTTCTTTTTCTGTTCATCCAGAATGAGCCACAGCAATGCATGGCCGGGTACAACTAGTAAGCTATAAAATTGGAGGAGGATATTAATAATGAAATCAGTTACTTTTTTGTAAACTTTTCTACAATTCTACAGATAGAATTTAGTTAGATGGTGTTAGAATTTTATGATAAAGCTAATATAATAACAATGAAATAAAATAGTAATAATAATAATAATATAATATACTATAGACTGGAAACTATTTATTATTAGATACTGCAGTAAAGTTAGGCAGTGCTAATAGAGGCAGCAATCATTCTTTATAATTTACTGTTGTTATTTATATGTATCACTTAATAAACATCCTCATATACATATATTAAACTTAGTTCTATTAATTTTCAAATTTCCGTAGCTTAAATAATTAAATATTCATTAAATCTAGCGCTAGATAAATAAATATTGTGCAAGAAAGTTTGGAGGTCACTAGAGGCGGCAGGTTCATCGTCTATTATTTATAGTATAAATGATATAGGATAAACTATAATATAAATGAGTAACAAACCTTTAGAATTTGGAGACTTGGCAAAAACTTTCAACAGTTTTGCTTTCTTATCTGACTGATAACGTTTCTTTTCTTCAAACTTAGCAAAACCTAAGGGAGATTGTTGCTGCTTTTCTTTCAATGCTCCCCTGAAAATTAATTATAGATAATAGCACAAAATTTTAACATTACTATTCACAAGATTTAATTATACACCATTACCTTTCTACAACTTCTAACCGGGCTTCCTTTTTCCTTTCCCAGTGACATTTTGAACAATATCCACCCCATTCTTCATTACCATAATAGTCACATCCATTTTTACATTTTAAATACGATTCATCAATTCGAAGACTAGCTTTCTTTAACGTGTACATAATCACATTTACCTAAAATAAAGGAAGCATAAAGAATTTGAATGAATCCATGAATTTCTTTATTCATACAGAATACATTTAGGGAGACAATTTTAAAACTATTAAAATACAACTAGATAAGCACAGTTAAAATAACATAATATACATACAATTAGAAATATATTCTCACAAAACAAAATGAAAAAGTATGGAAGGAAGAGTAAAAAAAAAAACTACTAATTAAAGAAATTGCTCATGAAACTTGGTAGTTATTCATTGCAATGGACTAAAATGCGATGAAAAAACAAAACATTTCTAAAGTACCTTAAATATACTTAATTGTAGACACTATTAGATAACAATGGTTACAACAAACGACAGTTCTTTAAACTTTAAAATACACTAAACAAAGATGACCCTGAATATCAGGATACAGCTGATTACAACAGTTCACTGCCACCTCAAAAGAGAGCGCTACTGATAAATATTTTTATCTCAAACGGAAGGTTGCAATCTAGTTACTTCAATTTTATTTCAATTTTTCTTTCATAGATATTCTTGGCTCATTCTGAATAAAAGAGAATTACATACAGGCAATGACATCCATATGTGTAGACAAAATAGAAGAAAAACCTTCTACTAGTTACTCTTACTTTGATACACCTGATGGTGAAGACTGCTTGAAAAAATTATATTTTATCTCTAAAAATGCTGCTATCCTAGGTCTTTTTGCCTCCACAATGGATGTTCTTCACTACTCTCATCCCAAGGGATATGCAGCTCTACTTGGAAGGTATGCATACACTACATTACCAATTACAGGAATGGGAGCAGCATTCGCTGCTGTCACTTGTGCTGCGACTAATATAAGGAAAAAAGATGATAAGGTGAATTATGCTATTGGAGGCTTAGCTGCAGGAGCAGTATGGGGTGCTTGGAAGAAGAGTTACAAATTTGGTTATTATGGGGGGCTTGCTTTGGCTGGATTCGCTGTCTTAGTTAAAGATTCATTTCAAAACAATTGGCCCTTGTTAGGTGAAGAAACAAAAAAAATGCCTTATTCTCCATTTTGGATTCGCCAAGATTGGTCTGTCGTTTCTGATCCTGGTCGTACTTGGAAAAGAGAAGATGAAGTATAATATATTTATGTTAGTTTATGTATTTACAAAAATTATTTAGTGTTTATTTAATAAAGTTTGTTAACACATAAGTTGATTTTTCTGCATAATCCCCATAATTATAGCAATTACAAAGATCTTTATTCTTTTTAATCATTCCTGTTGGTTTAAGCAACCTATTTCATTTCAGTATATCTATAACCATCTCTCTTCAATCTGATGCTTGTTAGTCAACAGAATTTTATTGTTTTGTTTTTACATTGCATATTTTATTTTTATGCGTCATGGTTGCCTGCCTTGAGTCGGATGTTTATAAAACATTGAATTCTCCTTCAGTTGTTCAATTCCTGTTATCAAGTTTTCCATCCTAATAGTTTTAAAATTCAATTCATCTTCTAAAAGAAAAAGTTATATTTTTTCTTAATAATTGTATTAATTACATTTAATGTAGACAAAAAGATAAAATTATCCCTTTTCCAACTCTGGCTTTTGTATCATTTATTGGATTTTGGGTCCAGTTTGATATATCAACATTTTGTTTAATTTATACATGAATTTTTCTTAACAATATATCTTTTAAGTTCCCCTTTTAGGCTCATGAGCAATGTTAATGTTATTAGTATTAATAAATAGTAATCATATTTACTAATACTTTTCATTTTCATTAATTATTATCTGGATTTATAAAGATATTGTGTGAATTAATCGCACTGGCCAATTAGTATAGTATGGAGGATAAAATGAAAGTGAGATTGTCCATTAGATAATCTTATTTTGTTATCTAAAGTAATGTGTCAGGAATAATTTTGTGAGAACATTTATATGGTTAGTGTAATTAAAAAGAAATGGAACACTAATATTCAAACTGTCTTTCTCAGAGCTTTTATGATTTTTGCAATACATAAGTAAATTGTGATAATAATATTTATCATAGCAACAGAAATTCCATAAAGGATTGGAGCATTGGCTTTAGAGAGCGTCTGTTTGAAGAATATAATTTTTTAATCATAAATATGTTTAGTAATTTTATTATAGAAACCAGTTTAAGGCTCCCATTTTCATTACTTCCATGTGGTTACACATTCCTATTATCTGTTTTTTAAAAATATATAAGAGCACTAACTAGATATTGTCAGTTTATTCCAAAAAGTCATTCAGTAACATTAAATGACTAAGTATTTTGATAATTTTCCCCTTTGTAAAATCAGGACATTGTGCTCTTATTTCAGCTATATGTGATATATAAAAGGGTTAGTGTCATTTTGATGCTCTTACTAAATTTTTGTATTTATAAATAAGGGTGGAATTCAAAAAAACATACATAAAAGTTTAGTTCCATCACAAATATATGAAATGACTTATTGCAATAAACCGAGAGTATATGTAAAACTTTATTTCAATTGAGTGCTCTCTGTAAATTTAAAATTACATTTGGAAAAAATAAAGTTGATACAATATTCTAGATCTGTATTTATTATATAGGATCTGAACTACAGTACAAGTTTTTATACACACATTGGTTGTAAATAAAAAAATCAATAAAAACACTGTCACCACATTTTTTTTTTTAAATAATTTTAAGCATAACTTCAATATCACTTTTATTAATTTTATCAAAAATATTTGCTTAACAATAAATACGAAAATTATGAAATAAAATTTTAAGGAGAAAATAAGAACTTTAGTACAGCAAAACTTTTCATTCAAGTATTAATTTATGTATTTATTTTAATCAAAACTTTTAAGTTAATATCTTGAATCCTTGTATTTTAGTGCCACTTTAAGTCATCTGGGCTTTGATGGGGGTCAATTAGAGAGAATTTTCCGCCATTCTTCTAACAATTTAGGTTTAAGATACTTTGCTTACGTGATATTTTCATTTATGAACTATAGATCGACACAAACCCATAAAAGTTCTATAGGATTAAATTTTGAACTTTGGAAAGGCGTTTCATGTTCATTTGGATAATTATACAGCAGTCACTCCCGTGTGTGGAGAATTTGAGGCTAAGATTTACTATCCTCATAAAGTTCGAATGTTCGTTCTATAACCACATTTGCCGCACTAGCCTTAATAGTTATTGAAAATAACTGCAGGAATAAATAGAACAATTAGGAAAACAAGCTAGACAAGATAAGAAAAGCTAAAAGGGAATTAAAAGGAGAACAATTTGTTGACTACAATGAAAGGTGAAGGCGATAATGTTCTTGCGAGGGTTAGTCTTCATGTGGAGTCAGTAGTTTGATTTTTATCCATAGAGTGATCGAGAAACATAAATTTAAAATGAATTTTAAGTGCTGGTAATGGCAAAAGTGTGTATAAAATGAACTTTCAAATTTTACCAGAATAATAATTCTGAGCCCAAAGCACACCATATACGGGAATGGCTGCTATATAAATAATTATTCCAATGAACACGAAATTCATTTCCCAAGTCCAGATTTAAATCCTATCGAACTTTTATGGTTTAATGTCGATTCACAGTTCATAAATGAAAATATAACACAAGTAAAATATCTAAAACCTAAATTGTTTTAATATACTCCTAATCGTATCTTGTCTAGCTTGTTTTCCTAATTGTTCTATTTATTCCTGCAGTTATTTTCATTAACTATTAAGACTAGTGCGGCAAATATGGGTATAGAATGAACATTCGAACTTTTCAAGGATAGTAACCCTTAGTCTCAAACTCTCCAAACACGGGAGTGACTGCTATATAATTATCCAAACGCCTTTCCAAAGTTCAAATTTTAATCCTACAGAACTTTTATGGGTTTGTGTCGATCAACAGTTCATAAATGAAAATATCATATAAACAAAGTATCTTAAACCTGAATTGTTGGAAGAATAGGAGAAAATTCTCACCAATTGATCCCCATCAAAACCCAAATGACTTAATGTGGCACTAAAATACAAAGTACTTCATTCAAGATATTAACAAAGTTTTGATTAAAATAAATACATAAATGAATATATATATGAAAACTTTTACTCCATTAAAATTCTTCTTTTATCCTTAAAATGTATGTATTTATTGGTAGGCAAATATTTTAAATAAAATTAATATAAATGCTGTCATAGTTATACATAGATGTTTAAATAAAAAAATATGTTGTAAAAAATTGTTTTTAATTTTTTATCTTCAACCACTGTAGGTAATCGTTCTTGAGCTTTTCAGGTGTTTACCTTTTATTAAAATTTTATTTACTAATATTTCAATGTATACTTACCTTTATCAATTATAAATTAATTACTATTCATCATTAAGATTTTACTCGTTATTTGACTTCTATTATTATTTATATAACTGTATGTCACCAAAATAGTGTAAGTAGATGTCTTAATTCAATTTAGCTGTATAAATGTATCATAAATGACTTATTTGATCAGTTCCATGTAAAGAAGGAATAAGATATAATTGTCAAATAACTAGACGGTTATCATTTTATTTATTTCAAAACTATGTTTGTAATTATTGCAGCTATGATAGTATTTAAGGTTCGCAATGCAATGAAAGATCTGAAAATTAGCTATTAAATTAAGTTAACAGATAGCAAGAAGTGAAGTTGTACTAATTTGTTGAAAATTAGCAGAATTTGGTTCAGGCTATACCAAAGGTGAAATTCTTAGATATTTATACTAAATTAGCAAAGGAGGAAAACTACTATTTTTATATCTGCTTTGATAAGAACAACCAACTATCAAAAGGAAATGAATGACAGTTAAAAAATAAAAGATTGCCAAATAAACGTCTGGGGAAAACAATGTAAATACTAACAATTTATTTTATCAGAATTTAACTAAAATAATAAACCATAATTTCAGTTTTTTACTTATATAACTCATCCTATTTTTTTAAAGCACATTTTTAAAATTTAATCACATTTAAAATCCATTTATTTGCATATCTATGTCTATAATTATTGTATTTTTTTTTCTTAAAGTGTAATTTAAGATTCAGTGTAACTGCTGCATATTACTACATACAAGACCAACAGCTTTGACATAGCATAGAGAAAAACATTTGTTAGTAAAAAATGTGATGACTAATTATTCTTTAAATTTCACTGATAATTGAGTTACTGCCCTAAATGGAACGGCAAAGGTTACCATTCATTTAAACATTCTGTTGAAAAATATTTATAATTTTGAAAATATTATACTGCATTTATATTTTTAGAGACTTTTTTCTGTCGTCAAAAATATTATACAGGAATTTTGGATAGATGTTTAATAAAAACAAAATTAAAACCTATAAAATTCATTAAAGTATCCACTACAAATACATAAAAAGCAAACCTACGTATTTTTCCTCTATTTATGTAAAATATAATTCAATGTGTATAAAAAAGAGATAATATTCAGATACCAACCAACAGTTAAGACTTAAAATTGGTTGTAACAAGTTTTGTTTTAAAAAATTACTACCAGAATAGCAGGAACAATCAATAATTATTATAATTTTAATAAACACCAATGTAGTGTAGCACCATCCAAGAAATAAAATGTGATTAGCAATAAACTATTTGCTAACAGTAGGGTCAATCCATTAGAATCATCCAGACCATGTTCTCGGCATTTTTGATTTTTATAATTTTTTTACCAGTTATTTTATATTTATTTGAGAGTTTACAACTGTAATTAAAAAAAACTGTGAGCCGCAATTTATTTTTAATTACAGTTATTAACACTCAAATAAATCTGGAATAACTGGTAAACAAATTATAAATATCAAAAATATAGTGCAACAAAATTAATTCAAATTGAGTGATTTCAAATGGATTGACCCAATAGTTATAACTAGTAGGCCCGTGCGAAAAATTCGCACAGCATATTGTTATCAAATGCCAGATTAATAAGAAAATAAAATAATGCAACATATCAAAAGATAAAGAAATCAAACGATACTTTATCGATAAATATAATCAACAAAGAAAACAAAAATTAATTTAAATCTTCATTTTTGTTTGGAACCAACATATTTACAAATTTCAGTAAGCTGTATCTTTGCTAAAAATAGTCCGATTTCGATGATTTTTTTTTCTTTTTGTAGGAAAAAATGTGTAATTTTTTAGTTATTCGCAAATAAAGTTTGTTTTCTTTTATAACTTTTTTGCCTGAATTTTCGGGATGATTGGACTATTTTTTCTGCCTGAAGGAGAAGGAAGCCTTCGAAATTGGTGGCTCAATCTTGAGATTTGGTGAAGAATTAACGATGATATGGCTTGCCGATCAAAAACACCATTGATAAATAATATAAACTCCTCCTGTCTCGATCATAGAGACCTCAAGTTGACAAAATAAGACATGTATCCAATGCCAGCTCTACAATTAACGTCAGGTTGTGTGGATGCGAACCCCATGCTTTGCGTTATCTCGAAAATAGTACGTTTTTGGGCTTAAAAACGCAGGATCCGATAGTTCCGGGGGAACTATCCGGGTCTTGCTGTACGCATCAAAATCTTCTAGATCCAATTTGTCCCATATCGATCTACAGACCTACCACTGTTCAGGTATTGAAGCCTAGCAAAATGTTTGTATCTACTTTATTTATTTTAGAAAGAAAAACAAAAGTGGAGAATACGATTCGCTAACCCCCCATGAAATTCTGAATCCAACAGTACCCCATTCATGGTATTTGAGCATGCCAGGAGCTTATATTTGGTACAAAACCGATTTCGAGCCTTACTGTAATAATATATGTACGGATTATTATGGAGCAAACCTTCAAAGTTCTAAGAGTCGGTACCAGATGGGAGTGACCAACAAACACCCAATATTATTAGTATTCTTACCAAGAAGCCACTACTATCATCTAAAAAGTTAAATTCCTATACATTTTTTTTCTATTCTAATAAATGAAAATCTGCAACTGGGAATTTTCAATGTTAAAATTTATTATTTGATGAATTACTAAAATTTATTGCATTACTCATACTGAAAGTAATGCTGAAACTTAACTAAATTTAGGAAATGCTTAAGTATTGGCAGATTCCCTCTCTATAAATATATGAAAGTAGCAACAGAATAATTATATATATATATATATATATATATATATAATATCAATCAGCTGTACTTTTCAAATATTGCTTGTTCCTTCCCAAATTAAGATTTACCTAATTTAGATATTGTTGCATGTGAAAATCAAGAATATCATTTTTCAATCTTCATCATTATTATTACTTTCTAAAACTATTTTTTAAATGGTATTAATATCTATTTGTACTATGGAAATATGGTATTATTAACTATTTGATTTAATTTTTTATGATTCTGTTAAAAATCATAACGGTAAAGACATACAAGATGATTGAGTATTATTTTATTTATTAATATGTTATTACCTGTGATATTTACCACTGTCGCACTTTTCAAAGAATCTTCTAAAGCCCAGAGTTACTTGAAGAAATCAACTTTCTTCTTTCTGGATATAAAGATAAAAGTAATATGTATTTGTTTTGCATCATGTAGTTTGTGCTTGTATCTGTACTGAAATATAATTCAAAGGTAATAAATAAGGCTTTAACTGATAATTCAGTTTTTAAAATCTTTTTTTAATGAGTTTTATATTCAAATAACATGTTTGATTGACATAAACATTTAACACTCTTATATAACACAATAAATATACATACTTTAGTTTTGGAAGAGAAAAACAAAACAAAAAAAAAATAATAATAACTTAATAAGTATTATATACAGGGTATTCTTTATCATAATCAAATTTAGGAAAAACTAAAAATCTAACAGTCTTAATACCATACATACACATCATGATCCCAATCATTTAAGCCTTATTTTGTTAAAATGTATGGTCTAGTAATAAAACTTTATTATAAATTACACAATGTAAAATGGTTATAAAATTACTAAAAACAATTTGCAGGAAACGAAGCACAACAATCTGTATGCATTCAATTAAAGCAAATGTTTTCATGCAATGAAACCAATAATATAATTAATCCTATTACATTATATAATATTGTGATATTATGACCTTGTTAACAGTAGAAAATTTCACATCACAATATATATACATAGGATATACTTGTTTCGATACATACAAAACTAAAAAGGAATGATTAAGATTATCTAAATGAAGATTTATGAAAAACGAATCAAAATAATTATCAACAAAGTATCGTAGATTCAAATGAAAAAAATCATATAAGATCAGTTAATTTTATTTTTCATTACAATAGAGTAAGACACTGATTATAAGAACATCTTTTATGTGAAAGTTGAATGTAAGAATTTGCCTGGTTGCTTTTTTTTTTTTTCTTGCTCAAAAATTTATCATAAATATTATTGAAAAAACAAACATGAAATTTTTAAATAAAACCTTTTTTGATTAATTAATGAAAACTTATCACATATTTTATGTCATCCCGTGTCTGTTTTTATAAAAAAAGCATCAAACAACTATTTGTTTGGGAAGGAGAACTTCATTGGTTTGAAGTTAATCTAAAAAAATATTAGTTAATCAAAACATATTATCAAGATGTTAAGCCAAAAAATATTACTGGCCAAAGCATTCATTAAAGAAATTTTAAGAACCCTTAATAACTTACGAATTGTTTAAAGTTTCATATTAAATTTTTAATCCTGGGCATTGAATGTAATGTAAATACATTCAGGTTTTCTAAGTTTTCCAAAAAAAAAAATTGTTAAAACATTTGCAATCGTTTTTCTATAAAAATAAATCTAAGATAATAGTAATTGTCTAATTTTATTGGAATATGCTTGTTTTAGTTCCCGTTAATATATTATATGATCATCCAGCTTTGCTTCCACTCAGCTCATATCATCAGTGTCCCACTAGGTTTTAAAACTAAAATTAAATTAATGGTATACGACTGATATTGTGAACAATTAAAGTAGAATGCGCTTCTTCAACAGGTAGGCGTATTATGACACACAATCTATATCAATGAATACACTACAAAGGTAACAAATTTAGATTAATAATCACAATCAAATAAATTACTTCTATATATTTTCAATTATTTTAAACACGCCATACAAAACATACAGCCATAATTCAGAAGTAAATTTATAATAATACAACTGAATCGCTTTAGAATTTCAATAAGAACTACACATCCATGTCCCATTTTCACTGATTTACAATTAAAACGTACAGTCTTTTATAAAATAATCCTCAACAGATATTTATTTACACTTACGTACAATTATTATGTCTTTATTCACAGTATAAAAAAAAAAAAAATTAAAAATAATAAAGAACAGTTCCATTAAAGAAAGTAAATGGAATCAGTTATTATAAAGCTAATTTAGACTGAAGCCTAATTATTAGGCAATTATAAATACAACCAACCTTCCACGATTGTCTAAATAAGGAAGGATGAGCTATTAATTTACAAGATTACTTTTGTGAAACGATAAGATAAGATATATATACATCTTTTTTTGAAATATAATACAACTAGTTAAATATATTTACATTATGGACAATATTTAGAAGTGTAACTATGTTGTCAGGTTAGCAACACTGCAGTTTAGCGCAGGATCATCAGCGTACATATGCGTTGGTGCTCCAGGGTTATCGATCCCTATATTTATCATTAAAAACAGTAATTTTAATTTAATACAAAACAAATCTAAAATGAGAAAGAAATTTAATTGAATAAATATAAATATTAACCCATTTCGGTCGAATATAAAAATAACGGTAGAAAAAATTAGAATAGAATTGAAAAATGTTTTATAATTAACATTTTGATTAGTTACACATGTTTTCAATGATGTGCACAAAATAGTTCTCCATTAAGTTGTTTTTGTATATATTGTGAATTGTAGAGAGCATATATTAGAAAATACAGTCCCTTCTTGAGAGGTAATGCATATACTATACAAACACTATACTGAATAATTTTATAATACTTAAATAATAATAAATAAATATAAACCCTAACTATGCCTTGGCCAAGCTGAGGAAGAGTGGGGGAACAGGAATAAAGTAGAGGAGTGAGGAGGGCCTTTAATAATTGGCCAAGATATAGTTAAATATTTATAATTAATTAATCAATAAAATGAGCTCACCTGATACATCAACTTCAGCTTTAGCCCTGTCTTCAGTGATGTATAACGTTGCCAATAGGAAAAAGAATCCTCCTAAAACCTCGACAAAACAAGTAGTGAAAAGAGCATATTGGAAACTCTTGAACTGCAGCTCAGGCGAGACATCCGTTAACGGTAACGTTGAGGAGGAGAGTGCGTACAGTGCGAGTAGAGTAGGAGTCCCACTCAAACTCCGTTTAAAAACTTCAGACAACTAAGGAAAAATAAATTAAATCAATATTTATTACAATATAATAGTTAAATATATTTTTCTCATAAATAAATCTCAAAAGCAGGTTTTGAAATGGAAAAAAAAATGTTATTTATAAAAAAATTTGATATCACCAGAATTTTTACTGTCAATAGTTTTTAAGTGGTTTTGGAACTAGAATTTTTTCCCAAGTAACCTTTCAAGTAAAGGTTTTACATAACTTTTATTTTAAAAAAAACTTTTATTTAAGAGTTTTGTAGATTTCGCTATAAAGTCTATCTAAAAAATAAGTTCATTCTTTCTGAAAGAAACCATACATTAGAATCATATTTAATTCATTTAAGATAAATTATAACTCTAAGCTCAGTCCAATTGCTGTTAATTTTTAATTTAAATGAACTTTTTTCAAGAACTTGAATAAACACAAGTTAAACTTTTACCATAAACGTGGAACTTTATTACAAAAGGGTTCCTAAGAACTTTTATTTTAAATCTTTTTTTCCTAAAATCTTCACAAAAACTGATAATATGGCGCTTTTTTTCCTAGAAAGTTTCACAGAAACTGTTAAAATTGAACATTTTAAAAAGGTTCTGACCTGGGAAAAGTTTGTTTTTTTGAAAGCGCTAATTTCAGGAAAAATCAGTTCTATGTCAAAAACTGTTTGAGTGATAGCCAGGGAAGGCTTTAGGCTTTATAAAATCATGATATAATCTGTAGGAGCTAAGCAATAACCAAAAATCTCAATCAAACTGAAAAATTTAGGCAATTGAGCTAATACAGATCCCCGTAAATACGGTTTGCTGTCAATATAAGCAAAGAGCACGGACACGGAAAAACTTATTTGAGTTAGCTAAAGAGAAGACTGTTTACCCTCATATGTTGCTTTGTCCTATATGTAATGATGCAGAGCTTATACCAGAAAGAGAAAAAACTACATACTATCATAAAAAAGAAATTGTTAGTATAAAACTCAGTCAGTTTTTTAAAAGTAATTATTCCAGTTTTTCCACTTCAATTTTAGATGTTATTCACTAAATCAGATTCATTTGATTGTGTACTCCCCACAAGCACAAAACAAACTTGAATAAACTCAACACAAGTGAATTAAATTATCTTTATTTTCAGCTTATTTTTACTTTTAAAATTAAAGCATAGAAATACAGTACGTAAGTTATACTATCATAAATAATTACATACCACTCCGATCAAATAAGGGCTCCCAGCATCGCCCAGAGCATGAGATAACAGTATCTGAAATGCTTCAGCTGTTGATCTTCTGGGTGGAGGTACAACATACTGTAACAAATATGAAATTTTTAAACAATTATAAACAATTTGTTTATTTAAAAAAATAAATAAATGTTCTATAGGTTAAAGAAATTCATCTTTGATGTTCAATTTAGGTATGGCAGTATTTCCTTATTACATAATTTTAATAAAAAATCAATTTCTCAGTTAATCTTTAACATATAAAAAACTTTCAATAAATTTCAATCATAAAAAAAAACATTAACCATTTTATTTACAAGTTGACAAATGAAAATTTCAAAAATAGTTTATCTAAATTATAATCATTATTACTATACATGTTAAGCTAAACAGTAAAATAAATGTGTTCTTGATTAATAAAATAAACCAACAATATTTTCCAAAAATAGAATTGGTATATATTTATAGAAATAATTTATTTTTAACGTCAGGATCATGAGATTTTTAAAAATGTTTTAAGTTGAATATAAATGATTACTTCTAAATAATAAGTTATGAAACTATTTCAATCACAAAATACTATAAATATACATAGACAGAAAATATATACAATTTTTAATAGTTTAAATAATTTAAAAGAAATTTACATTCTTACCAAAATCATATCAGTAACGACACCCCAATTCATATTTATGGCAATTTGAGTTACAAAAATAATGACATATGCCAAAGTCGGTCGTTGACTCAACATCTGTTGGGAAAATATGAAGAAAAAAGTAAGGAAAATAGCACCAATGAAGATACTGGTAGCACATATAAGTGGATCACCACGTTTTGTGTAACGTCTTGCAAAATAAGAACAAGTTGTCCCCAATGGCACTCCAATCATTCCAGCAATCCCAGTGAGGAGACCAAACACTAATGAAACACTACAAAAATAATTACTCAATAAAAGATATTTGATAAAGCCAAAAAAGACACTACAATACCAAATAAACTAACAAAAGCACAAATATCTTCTACTCTTCGTGTCTCATAAGCATATACATATGACAAAGACAATATCACTAAAACATAACTGACTGAAGATAACACTGGAACATTAAGACATAAGAACAAACTGTGTACATGTACTACAAAGCTCTCATATAATGTTGGAAAGAAGTAATGAGGACAAACCATTTTAATGTCAGAAATATTGAGAGAAAAGGACAAATGAAGAAGCAAGAATTACAAGAATAGCTAGCTAATGGTAGAAACGGCGTGTACGTTCTTCAAAATCCGTATTGCGACTACTAATGAGGCAAAAGACAGAGGCAAACTACTAATTGAAGAAACTAAATCTTTGTAAACATAAGTAATCAATGGTACAGCTCTTTTCTGACAAACATATTGGTGTAAAAAGATATCGTTGATTGCTCCTATAGTGATCTCTATAAAAATATTAATTTTTACATGGTATCTATAATATAAAAAAAAGTGTTTTCCAAAACAGTTATCCATTATATTTAAACGTCACTATTATAATCTAATTTAAACTGTCATTTTGATTCTGTAAGTCAATGAACGAATTTATATAGACATTATACAAATTTTGTATTGGGCTTACAGAAGACATAACTATTTTATTTTAATGAAGTTGTTTAAGATCAGGGCTATATCAAATGGACTTAGTCTAAGCAAAACATATGACAAGAGTGCTGAGGACCCAAGACAAGAAGATTTAATTAATTTTGAACCACAAACCTGAAGCCATTTACAATAGGAGCCAAAGAAAAATATTCGCAAACAGGTACAGGATAGATCATTAATTAGTAAGGAAACAGAATTGAAGAAGGAAAAAATATTCAAATGAAGAAATGCACTGACAGGAATAAAATGAACCCCAAACAGTGCTCAGGCAAAGTACTGATAATCTGTTCTTTTTAGTTGTAATTATTTTTTACTCTAAACTCAGCATAGAGTTTATTGTTATACAATATATAAACACTTTTTATTACGATTATATGTACATACTTAATCAAAAAGAATTTTTGATAATTAATATACTAGGAATTTCATGACTAGAGTGTATTGCTTACATTGTTCTTAGTAAAAAAAGTCTAATAATGCTTCTTAACATATTCTTTGATACGAATATGACAGATTTTTTATTAATCTGTTGTTCAAACATAAGTACAGTACACACATTTTCCTTAAAAATTAAAATAGTGCAGTCTACCTGGAAGTCTGCCATTAAGAAATGTTTCATTTAAATTATAATATCTATAAATATAAGTATACTCTTCAGTCAAAAGCAACATTTTACTCACTTTTCAGATCAAATTGATAGAAAATAAAAAAAAATTAGGCTAGTGGTAAATGTAAATGATACCAAACGAATAGTTGATTAACGCTACGACCACACAAGACATCAAGGGAGGGAATGGAACCCAGCTTCTACATAACCCTTAGTCAAACATGTGGGTTAATCTACCGATCCACTAGTTTGCTGGTTTCCTCAAGAGCAACATGATCCATTCAGTATGTAAATATAAGCCTGAGTACAATGACAGAGTAATAGAAAATTTGTCACATTTTCATATCAACTTTCAATGCTCATACTTCTGTTAGAAAGCATTATTATACTTTTTTTAAATTCTGAATAACATGAGAACTATGCCTTAAATTATGATAGACCTTCAATCAAGGAACACACTGTTTAAAGATTTTCATGTAGATAGGGCATGAGTATGCATTTAAAAAAAATACATAAATAAAAGAAAGAAAACTGAAGAGATTTGATATCAATAAATAAATCATAATGAATCATTGTTCATCTAATAAACTTCTAAGATAGACATAAATTTTACTTATATTTTAAGATAACTATTCACATCATTAAAAAAAAAATTAATACTTACTAGAAGTATGTCTGCTACTATCGCCCAGTTCAGATTAAGAGCCACCTCCCCAAAGAAAATTAATACATATGTGATAGTGGTATTGGTCTTGGATACTACTATCGCGGCGAAAATTAGAGGAGCACTGGCGAGAAGGCCGACGGCACAAAGGATGGGATCGATCCTTGGAATGGTGGGTCTCAGGCGTGTCGCTAGTATGGACCCAAGTGGCACGCCGATGAGACCAGCAAACATCGCTATCAGACCAAACTTGAACGAAACACTGAGACATACAACACAACATGGTAAAGCATAATCTAAAATCACAATTTTAACTTAACATTATCTCCTTAACCAAACAAGAAATTACTTCCTACTCATATACAAAGCATGCAACTGCTATTTAGTATATAGAAATAGAACATTCACAAATACTAGACATTATCTAACAGCAGATCACAAACATATACACAATATAATGTAATAAAAAATACATACCGTAAACCAGGATTATTTTGAGACTAGGGGGTGATTATGAACTAGACTTCATTCTGAATATGAAAATACCTGACAGGCTAAAAAAATTTTGTACTCAGACAACTTTCCTTTAGTCATGATATAGCAATGTTTTCGTCCACCAGGTGATTTCAAATTCAAAATTAAATCTAGTATACAACCATACTAGAGTCCCAAAGTAACCCTGGTTTGTGGTACTAAATAATATATATAGTATAAAATATATGTTATATGCATATAAAGTATGCAACTATTGAAATAAAAATTAAGTTACAACAGTGAAGAAGTAGGAAAGTCAAAAGTTTTGTATTGATGAAACAAGTTATCAGAAAAGTTCATAATTTTTAGGAGGCTACTTCTTTCGAATTTTGGCAAATTTTAAAGCTTTAAATAATTCTTAAAATATTGATTGGCAAGGAACTTAACAAATCGCTTTTTTAGCGTTTTCCAGGCAGACTTGTATAGTTTCTTTTTCAAGAAAATATTAAATTTTGAAACTTCAGTAAAATTGTCTACAGAACTTGTCTACTTCACATTTATTGTAGCAATAATATTTACTTTGGTTACTGAATAAAACAATCTCATTTAGTAAGACATCAATTACTGGATGATAAACTTTAAATTTGAGGATAAGATACTAAGATATTGGAATGATACAAAAATAAATAAAAAGCAGTATTGCAAAACAGTATCCCTTATTTGTTTAATTATTAAAATGTATTAATTACCAAATATGAAAAAAAAAATACAAACAAATACATGATTAAAAACTTCGTAAATCATAAGAATAAAAATCTGTGATAAATACGAGACAAAATTAGTATTGATTAACTTTTATTTAAATAAATAATTTAACAATACCTAGTAAGTTGATCGTTCTCATTTCCAGGTTGTAAATGTAATCCAAGAAGAATATAATGTGGACCCCACCATGCCAATGCACCAGTTACGAATGCGACACATGTGAATCCACCAGTAGAAAGCATGAAGCTCTTACTAAAATTAATCAAACAAATTTTAAAATAACAATTTTATAAAATGATGATATAAAATTATTATCAATATGTAGAATAGGAAAATTAACTTCTTAAAGTTAGCCATACATTTTATTTTCTATGATCAATGCCACGTTTAAAAAAAAATGATAGGAAAAGGGTGTAAAGAAAAATCACAATGGAGAAAAATTAGGAAGTTTATCTTATTTATACTAATCTATGTATGAGAGTTGAATGGTGGATGAATCTACTTAATTAAGGAAGAAAAAGATATTTTTTTAAAAAATAACCACATCATAAAACTTATTCATAATGAATCAAGTAGAAAAGTTTTAAAATTAAAAAATACAAACTAAAAAACTAACTTTTTTAGTAAAGATAGAATGTCCTGCTTCCAAGTGGTAGGTCGATGTACTGTCACGCCCTCGACGGAACCCCTAACAGGATCATCCAGAATAAATAAAATGAGGAGTACAGCAATTGCTCCGAGGACTGGAGTCACCCGCAGGCCCCATTGCCAGCTACCAGCTAGTTCGGCAGTTTCAGACCCTATGATGTAGCCAAGCCCACTGTTTACATTCAAAGATAATATTACATTATATACATAAACATTTAAATGATACATAAATATTTATAACAATTGATTTAGCTATAGGAAGTTCAATAAAAATTTTCTGAATTGAAGGATAGATGAAACAGTAAAACATATCTAAAAAGGAAGCAATAACTTCATACATAATTAGATCAGTTTGTGATTATATTTTTTTTATAGATATTGAGGAAACATATGAAGTAAAGTTTTTCATTCCTATACTAAATCATCACAGTAGAAACAACATTCTGTACTTCAATTTCATACATTTTTTTTATAAGAGGAATAAAGAATGTAAATTGGTGTATAGATGTATCTGTATAAAAGATACTTATACTCATTATTGCTTTTATTTATTGAATTCCGTCTATCTAATATTGCTTCCATAATAAGAGGAAATTTTTAATAGAATTCTAATAGCGGTGCCTATCTTGGTTTCATAATATTTGATGCTGTTTCTATAGTGAAAAATACTCATGTAAGCCATTATGCACTTTTTAATACAAGATAAGAGAAGTTTGTTGTTTACTAGGAAAAAATTATATTCTTTACTAACCTTCCAACAGGGATGGCGAAATAAAACAATGAGAGCATTTTGGATCTCATATCATCAATAAAAAGGTCGCTGATAATAGTGGGTGCTATAGTTGAATAACTTGCTTCTCCAATGCCCACCAAGGTACGAAACGTTAAAAACAAGTAGTAATTCTGTAAAGAAAAAAACAATAGTTAAGTTTAATTTAAAGAGTAGTAAAAATACAAGAAAAAACTAAAAAGATATCAAAAATTAAGTAAGTAAAAAAATCAATGTCAGAAGAAAAGAATATAATTACAACAGTACTTTTAAACTGAAAAAACAAATGACTCAACAGTAAATGTTTTGAAGAAAAATAAAACTTTAAATAGATATAATTTGGTACATATATATATTTTTTACAATTGACTAAAGAACTGCATAATTTCTTTATCATGTTTTGTTTTTAAATATTTCATACTTTTTTTTCACTTTATTAAACCGACCGTGATAGGAAAAATTTACAGGCAAAATTACAAACAAAACGTTGGGGATGGAGAAAAAAGTTAGGATCCCACAAAAGGTACTTACGAGGACCTGCAGAGCTCAGCAATGCTTAAAAAAGGCGAAATATTGCGAGAGGATGAAAGTTGACACCCACAAAAGACACATCTCCAAAATAAATTTAAATAACACACCAAATTTTAACCCTCTAATTTTATTTGGAAGCGCTGCATTGGTGCGAAAAAATTAAAGAATTAAAAAAATGAAAAATAGTTTGGACATATACTTAATTAGTAGATCTGATTTGAAGTCGGATTTAACTTCTTTTTTTTTTAAGGTGCATTTAGACATTTCACAAACTGTGGGTCAAACAAATATATAAATGATTATTTTACTATGGTAGTATTTTAGTTCCTTGTTTTTAATATTTTCCATCTGCTACCTATCACAAGAAATAAAATAAATAGTTTGGTTAAGCAATAATGTAGCTGTTGGTTAAATTAGATAATTGAGTTTCCTATAGTTTGTGAAATGTCGAAACGCACCTTAAAGTGTTAAAAAAAATGAAATACCTCTTTCTAATTCTCTATTTTATGTAGAAAGGTGTCAGTAAAATTGATTTCAGTTCTTAAAAACATTAACATTTAAACATTTATCAGGAAGCTGAGTGAAATATTGAATCATTCATTATTATTAAAGCATAAATATATTGTAATCAAGTTATTTTTTTAGTATTCGTTCATAACATTCATTAATCTCAGAGTTTATATACTATATCTAATTTAAAAATTGAAAATTCAAACTTGATCGTACATGTTAAATTGATTTTTTATATTTTATGTGATTTCACGTTTAATAATTGCAGTTAAGCAGGGCTACCACTCGGTAGGATCTCAACAAATATATGTCATATGTCATTATTTCTAATTTGTTCATACTTACTGGATGTATTTATTTAACACAGTTGTAAATTTCAATAAATAAAATTTAAAAAAAAATTGCAGTTAATAATGCTCATATTGGTTTATGTTGTAAATAGTACTAAGAGGAAATTGTTTAAGTTCTTAAAGAAACGTAAATAACAAAATAAAGAAAGAAAATATATTAAACAAATGAAGGGATAAAAAGAAATGATTGTTGGCATGTGTTTATTTAATTATATACATTGGAGATCGTAATGTGTAGTAGTTTACTATCTGCGCGATTTATTTTACAATTTTTTTAAAAGTTATAATTATGGTCATTATGAGATTATAGCGCCGAGTGGACTGCTTAACTTATTATATACTACCGCCATCTTTCTTCGTTTGGAAGTTATAAAATCCCAGAGGGAGAGCTAACGACTTGGAGGATGTAATGAAAAGGAAAGTGAGGATGACGGATGGCCATAAAAACTACCAGCCCAGTTGTAATGGTTCCCGAAGTCCATTTATAATAACACAATATGTCGAGGAGGCTAAAAGGATTTGGATATTTATAGGCTCTCTATGGGTTCTCTAATTACCCTGTCTCCACTAACTCATTCCTATATTGTTATCTTCGACCAAAGAACTTTTTTTTCGTGCTATTTAATTTGTTGATAATCAGTGATCTTCAATTTTGGGATATTTTCTAAACTCAGCGATGAGGTATGGATGGCATCGTAAATCCATCCGATAATTTATAAACTCATCGACGGAAACGATTGGTATAAATATTGCATCTCATAATTCATCGATAAAATCACCGATGACACATCAGTTTCAAAGACTGTTTCGATCGATTTATCCGATGGCTGTAACTTCATCCTAACCCCAATAATGTTATTTCTGTTTTTAATATCAATAATACAGTTTAGTATCGGACCCAGGATTTAATTTTGGAGGGCTTAAGACCGAAAGTTTATATTTTATATATATATATATAAACAGTTAGAATATATATATCTGTATGAATATGTATGTGTGTATATATATATATATACACACACAAATATATATATACACACACACACACACACACACACACATATATAATGATAATTACTTCGTATGAAAAAGAAAGAAACTAACTACCTATATTAAATTATATTTAAGTGATTCTAGAAGTCCACTAAAAAATATATATTTACGAACAATAGACTTGCGAGGGTCACTCCCTATTCGCCTAACGGCGGACCAACCCCATTTTACAAATTAAACAACTATTTAATTGTACTATTTTTATTTAATTGTACTACTCGTTGCTTACATCGTATAATTGTAATTTATATGTATTCTGTAATTCAGATTGTATTATTTTTATTAACATAAAATAAACTGAACGAAACCACAGTTCGCACAAATTTTTAATTTCTTTAAAAATCTATGTTATACATAATTCGCGCCTTATTGCCAATTTACATTATTATATAATTATAATTATTCTTATAGTCAATTGGTTACCATAATATATAATCAACTTCTCCAGCTTCATATATGCCCAACGTAAATTTTAGCATTTTATTATTAATATTTTCATTGTACGTTATATTGTACTTTATTTTCTATTTCATAATAATTATAATTATATCACAGTATAATATAAATAACGTACAATAGATAATATAATAATTAATATATTATATTCAAGAGGAAAATGTCTAGATCGAAAAATAACTACTGCCACCTAGGTAAAATCAAACAAACCCATCTCCAGATGAATACCATTTTTCGTACAAATTTTTCCACTAAAATGTTTATTTTACATTAGAATAGTAGGAGGTAACAGTAGCTCAACACATATGTAATTAAATGAACAGCTGTAAAATTAGTACTAATAACAGAGCAAATAGGATAGCTCTTGTAATCTCCTGCTAAAATAAAATAATTTAGAAAAGTCACTAAAAACTTTTTTATGCAATAAAGATAATTTTTAAATATTTTTTTCATAAGATATAGTTACATTTAGTAGCTATATACACTTTGTAATTTAAAAAAAAATTGAACATATTGTGATGGAAGGAGATGTTCCGGGGTGGCGACATAAATAGGCTAAAAAGTGTTAAAACTATTTTATTAAAAGCCAAAGTTCCGACCCGACTTTGCAGGTCTTCTTCAGGGCTAGAACGGACAGGATACAAAAATATAGAGAATTGTGAAAGTTACATAATATTTAGACAAAACATTTTTTAAACAACGTGAATAAGCTTATTAAAATTATAAACAGTAAGTTCCGAAACTGAAGTAAATAGATGCTAACAATCGTTGTAGTGTAATATATAATAGCATCTATTTACTAATTGTTAGCATCTATTTATTTCAGTTTAGGATCTTCTTACTTAGCTTACTCTGTTAAAAAATTTGTTTGTCTAAATATTATGTAACTTCCACAATTCTCTATCTTTTTGTATCTTGTCCGTTCTAGCCCTGAAGAAGACATGCAAAGTCGGGTCGAAACGTTGGCTTTCAATACAAATAGTTTTACCACTATTTAGCCTATTTATATTTATGACCGCCACCCCGGACCATCTCCTTCCTTTATAATGCAACGGTCAACTATTAAATATTCAATAGAACATATTGTGATTAATTATTTAGCTTAGATCACTTACAGTAACAAATACGGACCAATGAAAAAAATTATAAATTTTACCATTTTCAGAGAGGACTTCAGCCCCAAAGCCCTTCCCCGCTCTCTCCTCTCCCAAATATCGGTGAATACGTTTCATTTTATGTTTTACCTCTTTCATTTTATTCTGATGACGTCCCTAATGGGCGGTGAACATCACCCTGATATAGGAAATTATTAATAGATAGTTTTTGAAAGGTTCTGTTACCGACCTCCATGAAGGAGCCTATGAGAGTGGTGAGGCTCCAGAGGAAGACACCGAAGGCCATGATGTACCTCCTGCTGTAGCGGTCCCCGAGGTAGCCGAAGAAGGGCGCGAACAGCATGTAGCTGAGGACGAACGCCGTCTGCAGCAGCCCGCCCTCGTCATCCCCGAGCTTGAAGTACGCCTGTATCTTAGTCAGGATTCCTGCAAACAAAAACATTACACTATTAGCTTTTGTAATAAAGAAAAAGAAAAATCTTAAAAACCATCAAGGCCATTTGAAATAGAATGGTGCATAGTATGAAGTAGTATAGTATTCTGCTCAAATAGTGCTAGTGAATTAATTATTTAATTCTTTTACCGGGTCTTAAGTTATTAAATGTTTTAATGAAATGAAAAAATAATTTTATTCTGGGACTATTGTCCCCTAAGAATAATAACAGAGTTACAAGTTTATGTATCTTAGTCTGACATAATAAAAATACCAACTAATTTATTGTTAATTGTTATTTCAATTGTGCAATGGATTGAAATTAAACATTGTATAGATGCAAGTAATTTTACATGTTAGGGTAAGTTTGAATGTGGAGTAGGTGTTGGAAAAGGAGTTGTTTGAAGGAATTTGTGGACGAGGATTGACGAATGGAGGTAGGAAGTGAGTTCCATAAGGAAGCAGCACGAATGACAAAAGATTTGCTGAAGGAGGAAGTTTTATGGGAGGGAATATATAAGTCTATTGGTTGAGAACTAGTATTGAGAGAGTGGATAGAGGAGCGCAGAGAAAGGAGTTCCAGGATGTAGGGAGGGATTTTTGGTTCTGAAGACTTGGAAAAGGAAAACACCAAGGAGGAATTGTCGTCGGGAAGTAGGATAAAGTCACTTCAACTCGGTGTACCAGAGTGAAACATGTGAACGCCATGAGATCCCGAAAATGTATCTTATGAAACAATTCATGAGTCTCTTTAGTCTCATTTCCAGCCTGGCAGATAGCCCTCCATACACCAAGCAGCCGTAGTCAAAGTGGGGGAATACAAGGGAGGTTACAAGGAGCTGTCTGGTTTTTAGAGGAATACAATCACGGAATCTTAGGAGTTGTTTAAGGGCAGTTATGGATTTTCGGGTAATCTGAGAGATATGATTACTCCACATGAGAGGTTCTGGTCAAATGTTACTCCTAGGTTTTTGACTTTAGGGAAAAATGGATGGGATGGTTATTGAGTTTAAGTAGAGGAAAGTGAGGAATGATTGGTATATTTGGAAATCATCGGCATATAGGTGGTAATTGGAGTGTTGAATGGCGTTAGGAAGGTCAATAATATAGATGGAGAAAAGGGTCGGGGAGAGTGAGGAACCCAGCTGTTTTTCTCAACTGTAAATACTACATGAAATATATTTAGCACCAAATACTTCTTCATGTCTTCCTTACGATAAGACAACAAAATGGTACCTGGATGGTCTCATACGAGCATCAATTTCATAACATTCCATTCACTACTTTCGGATGTGCAATAAGCATCATTCTGTCTCAATTATTATGGGAAAGGAAAAGCTATACTATATAAGCTATACTGATCCTACTGGGCAGATTTTTTTTTTTTTTTTAAACTTTGTTAATTAAAACCTGTTGGTGAGATAATATTTTTTTAAAAGGCACAAGAAGAAAGAAAAGGATGCCTAATAGCGAACACAGCGCCGACATCAGCTCCTGTTAATGACACTTACACGAGAGAGAGAGGGGACGAAATTAACTTTGTTCCGCTGGTGGGTAGCAATCCATCACTAATTGTTTTAGCATGTACACAGCCCCAAACTGAGGGGGGGTCTGGGGCTGCATGGACCAGCGGTTCGGAAGGGAACGCCTGTTCAACAAGGCACTAAATTCTGCTTCAAATGGCCGAGTGAGTAGCAGGTGGAAATCTTTAATTGGAACATCACTCTCAAGGTGATTATTAACTTTAAATTAACCATTTCAGTAAAAAATAGAGACTTTAAAACCTAGTAGTAATTTGCAACACAGCCTGGTTACTATCAACGGAGCTTAAAGCCATGCCATTGGAAACGAAATATCGATATAACTATTTATTACTTTTTGAAATGAAAACTTCTTTAGGCGCGTTTTGCACTTTTTTGTGGATAGTAAAACTAGATTGATTCGTCAGATTTCGCTCGGTGTTAAGGTTCGGGTAAAGTCGGCTAGAGTCGACTGATTGAAATGTTTTTACTTTCACTTACGTATGTATGTAATATATAGTAACGGTAAGTATTGCGATCGAGAAAATTTTTGAATCTGAGTTTTCAAAGGAAATACACTTTTTGAGGTACCCTGAGTCGAAATGACCAAGTCCCGAAAAATGGTCTGTGTGTTTGTGTGTTAGCAGTCTAGCTCAAAAACGAAAAGTCCTACGAAACTGATATTACGTATTTAAGATAGGTATATGCATTAGATGTGACAGCAACTTTTTCCTCAAAATCGGCTAACTGGATGTGGCACTTCATATCAACGCTGAAACAATTTTGATTCAACTCAGTGTATCATGTGTGTATGAAGTGGTCTTTAATATCAATTAGGTTTTATCCTCAATGATGTCACTTTACAGGGCTTAAATGCCCAATGTTCATATACGTCTTCCTCTAAAGTACCTTTAATATGGTTTATTTTAAAAAGTTTATCATTTCACATTATTTAGAGTTACGAAAAAATGCTAAATATAACTTTTGAAAGAATTTGATAAGTTAATAAAGGAGAAAAAAAATAAAAATGCAGAAAAACCTGCGTTGCTTTAGACTGTAGCGCCTAACCGAATGTACCGATTTCAATGAAACTTCGCTAAAGTCATTTTCTCGACAGCCTTTAAATTTATCTATAAAACGAAAAGAAGCTGGGAAAAAAGTTACGAGGGATGGTAAAATTAAATTCCGAATAACTCAGAAAGTATACACTTTTTTGTCGATAATGCGATAAGATGTTTGAAAAGTATTTAAATTTTCTAAAAAATGAAAGAAATTTAGATTTTTTTTTTGTGTATATAACTTGTTTAACTAATATTTTCTTTACTTTCTCTTTTTTTTTATTATGGCTAGATGTAGTCTTTTAATTATGTTCTATTTTGTTATTTTAAAGGGACTTTCTCCCAGAATAAAGTTATTTTCTATTTCTATTTCTAAAAAAAACATGACCTGAATAATCTTCTATTTTTATTTAGTTTTAATTAAATAAAATTAAATTAAAATTGAGCTTTACAATAGTTCATCTCTGACTTGTAAATTATTAACATAAATATTCCACTGTCTGTGTTAAGGTAAAGTGCCTATAGAAATAAACGAAGGGTTTCTATACACGAATATGATTTCGGGAAGAGATGGGAGCGCTTAATTAAGGGGAGCGCTTGAACCTTCATTAGCACAAAATGAAGAACAAGTGAATTAATTCATTTTGAACAGGGAAGGCTCCGGTATTAATAACAAATATTAATTAAAATGGAGATAACTGATTAATGAATTGATTAGAAGGAACAATGACCTCGGAAGGTCGGTCATTGTGTAGCTCCACCGTATTCCTCAGCTAGGTACAATGCCAACAGTACTCACTGTCTCTACGAGGCTCTTCGGAGCCGAGTGGAAGAGGAATATTGTCTGAAATTGGATGGGAGAATCTGAATTCCTCGTTGTCTCAACTAATTAAGTGCCAGAATTTCAATCAACATTTAATCATAAAAGGAAAAAAAAGAAATCAGTCAACAGAAATTGTCTTAAAAAAATCAGCTTTCCGTTTAGCCATGTCTTATTGTTATATTAGGTAATTTCATATGAAATGTCAGTTTTCACAGGAAAGGTTATTCAACAAATCAACTTTATGAAATCAATACATTTTTATTAAAAATATTTACCCTCATTCTCCCCATACATTTTCCCCAACGTGTTCAGGGTTTTGAGAAATTTTATTTATTTATTTACTTTAGGGAAGTTGTCCAAATTCCTGAACAAACAAAAATCTACTGGAGATAATTCTGGCGAATAAGGTAGGTGTGGACTTCGCAACACAGCTCGTTTGTTTTCTTCACTGTATGTCGTGAAGCAAGAGGTCTAGGCGTTGTCGTGTAAGAGTATACGTCTCTCTCTTCCGATTAGCCAACGTATGTTGTTTTTTGATGCATTATGTCAATATCACTGCTAGTCCGTGGTACAGACCCCTTTTTCTCGAATTAATGACACCCGCCAGAAACTTCGTAAATAGTTTCATTTCATCGTAACCTACAACTATTTTATTTAGGAAAACTCTTGGAATTGGGGCGTTATCAATCTGGAGGGGGACAAACTTTGTCTATTTAATTCGTAAATGTCCATTTGCTTTTTACTTGGATCGTAAGATAAATTCATCACAAAATCAATAAAAAAGGTGACCTATAAAAATATTGGCCCGTTTGTCCTATATAACCTCGTTATTTTGAAAATTTGGGGGTGTAGGTCACGCCAAACGGCTCAATATTTTTAAAGACCACCTTTTCTATTGATTTGGTGATCAGATTATCTTACGATTCGAGTAGGAAGCAAATGAGTATTTACGAAGTCTCAGGCGGATGTTAATAATTCGATAAAAAAGGGTCTGTACCACGGACTATGCAGTATGATGAGATAGTTTCACTTATGGATAAAAATGATAAATGAATTATTCCTGCCTTTGGCAACCAGCGAATGGTTCGTTCGTTGCATAAGTCATTTCCGGACGCCATGGTAATGTTTTTTTGTTTTTTGTAGCTTGGGCTGTCAAGTGTTCAAGTTTAAACTAATAAAAATATTACTTGAAAATCACGTGTTTTCATAGTCATATTTTATGGCATGCTAAACAAAGTGCAATCAATTGGAATGATAGTAAATATTATCAAATAAGAGAGGATTAATAACGACTCATTATAATCTGTAAACACATACGTAGTAAACAACATAAGTCCACTAGTCCCACTTAGAATTTCTGAAATAACAAAAACGGACAATGCATGTGTAATGATTTAATATTACCAATGTGATTATGATTTTCTACAAATCTTGTTTCCTTCAAAGGCATAAAAAACTATTTTAAACGAAACAAGTTCTAATAGATCACTCTTGGATGACTTGTTTTACCTAAATGGGGTGTTAAATAAATATGGAGAATGCCAAAGCGATCTGTAATAAATGAACTAAATTAAGTAAGTAGCTTTCTAATAAATTTAATTTTATATTTAGTATTAAAACATAGAAAATTCAGTCAGAATGGTTAAGATACATAATATATCTGGTAACGAATTAAAAAAAAAAGTAAAATGCACTCCATTGTTCTACATATCCTCTATCCACTTTTATGTTTATTATTTCAAAAATAAATTATCAGTGAAATTAACTCTGAAAAGATTTTCTCGGAAAACGTCGTAAAAAGAAGAATGAAGAAACGTAAAAAAGTTTCACGGGAAGACATCATGAGGGAAAGCAAAAGGGAAATATAAATACAAGAGAAAAAACACTTAAGAAACAAACAAAACTTGAGGGCCACTGGACTACCTCCTGAGAGAGTGAAAAATAGAGGAGAATTGGAACAACCGAGGACTTAAAAAGTTATAGTCCACACTTGTTTAAGATTATATCAAACAAAAAATAATAATAAGACCCAGTATTGATACTGCCATCGATATTAATATCAACCTATCGATATCATCGAATTATCGGACTAAAAATATCGATAGTCGATATTTTCATCTATATAAACATATAAACGAATATTCGTAACAAACAGTGATACACATTGGAAGCAGAAACCAAATGTGTCTGTACCATCAGAAAGTAAAAAATGGTTTTAAAATAAACGGAACTGAAAGTGGGCACAATAAATTTTCAATATACAACACTAACACTCATGCTTAATGGACCAGGCTCCAAAACAAACCCTTTCGAAAAAAAAAGAAATATTTAAGGGCGCCGGGAAGGGAGAGGACAGAGACGGTACTAAACCAGGGAACGGTAATGAATAATAATGCAGTAATAATACTCAAGTTTCGTCAATTCTCACAGTTTAAAAAGAAGCTTCAAAACAAACCATTAGCGGAGAAGAAAACGCTCAACACAGTATATAATGAAGCAGTCAATAATATCCAGTATTGTTTTGGGTTTTGGATCATGAGTAGAGAAAACTATATATTCAGTGATACTGCTTAGCAGATTGAGTTTGATACATATTATAAATCTATGTTCTTTTTGTATTGTTCATTCGGAATTCCACTGTTTTATCCATTCGTCGTTATGTATTCTTTTCATATATAAATATTATCTTTGTTAGATTAACTGTCAATTGATTTTCCTATATATTTTCCAATATTTTAATATTGTAAATACCTTTCTTCTATCCTTATAAAATGTTACACCTGTTCCCAGCGGACGACACCATGGAGAAACCTTCGGAACCAATGAACTGTCAGGTACCCGTTATGATTTGACGAAACAAAGGTGTAGGTCGATAAATATTTTCGGAATTCCCAAATTGTATCATCATTCAATACAGACATGTTTAACAATCTTAAGCCTAGTACACATTAGTAGAAATTGTTGCGCGATTTGTCTATACTGTCTAGAGACGGTCTCGAGACACGATCTATAGACACCGTTGTATGTCTCGTCTAGCGTCCACACTTACGATGGTAATTCCTGTCTCATCTTTACAGCCCACCATGGAGGACATAGTTTTGTGTGGAATGAGTTCCTGCTTAGTACTAATTACAGTTGAAAGAGCGCGAACGTTACTGAATGCGCAAAGTACTCGCAGAAGGAGCTAGGTTCGATAACGCACTATTAAATAAATTAAGACTG